GAGAGAGAGAGAGAGTAATTTTGTGTGAGCTCAGAATTATCGCCTTGTGCATAAGGGGGGACCTAAATAGCCTCTCCCAACTTTAGTAACAGGACGATGCCGATTGAAGATTCGGGAGAAACAACATGATAGGCAGATCCTGGAGACCTTTGCCGGAGCCGAAGGTACAGAGACATAACCAATTAGGTTTGAGTACTTGCGTATAGCACGTGGAATTTGATCCCAGCAAAACCTTAAATTTGTGACTATAATAATTCATGTCACAATCTGTCAAAAGATCTTGGTTGTTCTTATCAACCGCATCTTCCTCCCTTTCCATCATGTCAAGGCGATGAGTTACCGCATACGGTGGTGAAGACCGAAGTCCGATTTACCACTCAATGTTAATAATGTGTTGGTCAGTACACGCGATTTGAGGCCTGGTGAAGTTGCCTCCAAACGTCAAAACCTTTCCTCGCGATTGTTTTTCAAGTTGCCCTCCAAATAACTGCTGGTTTGGTTCGTTTGAAAATGCCAGAGCACGAGACCACAGATCTGCCTGATAAGGAGCGGTTGTTATTTCCGGTCTCCTGCGTGACTTGCAGGAGACGAAAAATCAAGTGTGATAGAGTGCTGCCTTGTCTCTCATGTGTTAAAAGAGGCGAAGACTGCCGGTATCCAGAGAAATACAGATCCATTGAGATATCCCAATTTGTTCCGCAGCTTAGAGATGTGGAGGAGAACCTTTCCGGGGGTTCTGAAAACCAAAGCCTACTACATGATATTGTAAGACTTAAAGAGGACAATCATGTTTTGCTGACTGAACTCAAGAGAGTGAACAGGAACAGGGCTCTTAGTGCTCTGGGAATTAGTCCGGCAAACAGCAGGAAAAGAGATCGAGATCAGGAGAAAAACATGGCCACTTGTCCGGCAAAGGAGATGTCATACCCCATGACCGATGAAGACTTTTCTCTTAGTAGGATCAATCAGTATTTTGTGGGAGGCCAATCGAAGTTTTTGGTCACGGAGTTGGTATTAGCAAAAGATTCCTACAATTTGGAAAGATTTATCAAAATGGGCGATGTGCCCGTGAGTTTTGGTCTCACAAAGATGGTCATAGACGACGACAAGGCCAATTTTCACTTGACGAAAACACTTTGCGATACTTTCTTTAAGAGCAGGTCTTATTATAACAATTTCATCAGCAAGAGCTATATCAACGGCTACCTGGAGAGATATCCTGCCTCACTGAAGGATCCAGACAGTCACGATACTATCATGTTGATCACTATGATGTGTTTGTCGGTGGTTAGATTCTTGCATGATACGAATCCATTATTGACACCTTACAAGGTGGATTTTCACACGCTAAGGCAGCAGCTTTACACCAAGTTTTTTTTCCTGAAAACGATAACTAAACCCTTCAATGTATACAGAAGACAAGCGTTGATACTGGCTTGTGAGGACTACTACTTTCAGACGGAAACAGAGATGGCGTTTGCGTTGCTTTATGAGATTGCTGGCAGTTTCAACAGGCAACTCATAGATGAAAGAACATCTCTGTTGATGGAACAATTCAATATGCCCGGTATGGGGTCACATGAGAAGGTGAAGGTGGTTCGTGAAGACTTGGAGGTAGCATCTTGGTTGGCTGCGACGTCGCTTGCTAACGTGGTCAGCGCTGCTTTTGTGAGATCTACCGCCAATTTGTTTCCAGCTAGTCCGTTATGCAAATATGCAGACATTCGCATCGCGTATAACCTGGGTATTGGCGAGCTTTTGAAGGCTACGGTGCAGGTTTTGATGGACGTTGCGGGAGTATCGAGTGCGCACAATAAGGAATCGATTATGGAGCTTCAGGATGCCTGGACACAGGAATTGACCATTTACAAGGATCTTTTGGGAGGAAACGTGGAAAAGAGAAAGGAGGTGTTGAAGGCATTGCAGAAGATGAACGCTACCGACTTGGACGGATCCAGTTCCGATGACTCTGTGCCAGACGCCGGGTTACGTTCTTACGAGGATATCGGAAACACGGAGAATTTACTGATTGACTCAGACTTGGAGCTTCTGTCTGATTTGTTGATGGGTTATGTTGGTAAAGGGCTTTTGTCAGAGACATATATGCTACGATGTCCTAATGGTTTAGACGATACTCTGGAGTCGATCATCAAGGCATTGAACATCATGGCCGATCTTCTAAGACTCTTGGAGGAAAAGAAGAAGAAGTGTTTGAAGTCTGCATTTCCTTTTGCTCACCAGTCTGTTACGAAAGTGGTTAACATGGTGTACACTATTCTTCACCTGGATTACGATTTTATCTATCCGTCCCACTTGAAAATTGCCCTGATACGTCAAAAACTGCTTGTTATCGCGGACCGCTATTCCATTTACTGGCAAATAAACTTTGGAAATATTACAAGTGATATTTCGTTCATGATGCTGAAATATGAGCAACGCCTGAAGAACAGTTTGGATATCGATTGCACTCCTTCAACCGAAGATTCCGATTTCAAATCGACTTCACAGAGTGTCTCAGGAAGTGGACTCACCCCGCAAAGTTACCTGGGCCATGATTATGCGTCTTTTGCGGGTGATTCTCCAAAGCACATGACCAATATTCTGGGTGATCTGGAGGTCTCGTTGAGCCTGATGCCACCTCTACCCAATAGCGAGCAGTGGATGATGGCAGCTTCAGGCACTCCCGGGAACGGTACGAGTCCAGCGTTCTCGTAATTTAATTTGTTTTGTTGAATTTACAGTTTCCGGTTTCGTAGCCAAGGAATTAAAGGACTCGGCAGCAAGTGAGGCTTGTTTTTGGCAGAAAATGTGTCAGTAACTCTTCCATTTTCACCTGTTGCTTACCAGGCTTTGGATTTAAATACCCGGAATGCCAAATGGGATCTCACATTCAAATGGTGGGGATGTCGCAAAGCGAATTGTTGCAATTTTTTCTTTCAGATTGTTTTCCACCCGAGTAGAGCAGTTGGCGTCACGTCTTTTGCTTTTAGGCTTACGAAAATGTCTCTAAAATTAGTATTCAAACTTCGTAATTTTTGGAAGTCGCACCGCAGTAGCGGTATTTGCATTCTTTGCACTTTCAAGTCCTTTGCGTCATAATCAGGCTAGGCTATGATTGGCTTCATGAGGTTTCCGGGATCCTAAGCCTTCAACTTGTCAAAACACGATTAGGATTGATCCTCCGGGGAAAAGTTCCGAGCTCATCCTACCTGACAGCCAACTAACAACCAAAGAGGGATTGGTCCCTCAGTTACCGGTATTTTCATGCCTGAATGACCGCACACATGGAATGCTGGCTCAAGCGATCCGTCAATGCTGAGGGTCTGCGGTCCAAACGGCACAATAGGGACCATAGAGTGGTGTTGAATGGATACCCCTAGGGCTCTTTTCTGCTACTTCAACCGGTAGTTACAGATATCAAAATGTTCACAAGAGCCAGAGGTTCGCATTCATCCAACTTACGGGATCCAAACTAAAAGAAACAGGCTATATTATCTCCAATTCCGTTTGAGTAGTGGTTTGCTCAACCCAGATCGGGAACATGTCAAACATCATAATCGGCTTTTTTCGCCGAAGAACCAAGGCATTGACATAAGCGTCCTGAGTTATTGTAAACATATTTGTCCTATTGGCTCTACTTGAAAATGACATCAACTAATGAAGAAACTTGCGTTAAATGATGATAGTATAATTGTGGCAACAAGAGCTGCATGCTAGAAGTGGCCAGAATCATTCAAATATACTACGTTTTAAATTTAACAGAAATGGTAATAGTGTGTCTCATTGACTCAACGTCTCATTCACTTTAAACGGTCGCCTCAAGCTTGTGCCTAGTTTCTTCAATGTTCTCGAGCCTTTTTTGCCATGGCAACGTTTTGACAGATGGTTGACAGTGGATGGAAACCAGCGGGAAACTATGAAAAGCTTGGTCTGGTAATTCTAACCGCCATGCAGATTTTCCTTCAATAATATTTTCAAAAAAGAACGACAGAAATGGCCGTTATTCTTCCGCAGAACTAAGGAAGTTCCCAATGTGGAATAAAGATCATCCTAGGTGGGGAAGAATTAGGTTGGCTCCCCATTGGTCCCTTTTTGGTGGAAGGTGACAAAGGCGTGCAAAAGAAATGGCCTGTCGGAATTTCCGATAAATTTCGGGCTCCCCGATGCCATTCCGCCTTTACCAATGGCTTACTGTGATTTCACTGAACCGGCAGAACTGGCCTGGGAAATGCACTTGTCGGATTCAGCAGATGCCGAAAAGAGGGATGTAAATCATTCGCTTTGTTTTTCGAACGCGTCGAAAATGTTGAGAGAAACTCTCAGAGCTTTTATATGTACAACAACCGCACGAGAAATACTGGAAATAAGTACTTGGAGCATACCGATACATATATATATATATATATATACATATATGAACACGGCTTCTATATCCAAATTACATAGTTATTATCAAAATTGATTCTCTATAATTCAATTTGAAAAAAATTCTTTCGTCTTTCCATTTCCATCCCTCTAAACCAAGTGCAGACTTCGCTTGAAGTTCCTGTCGTGCTCTGGACCAAATCACAGCGTCTGAATTGGCTAGCTCTTACCCCGAAACTCGTGAAAATCTTGAAAATCTCGATTCCAAACCAAGCCCATGATCACCTAGACTAACGCAATGCACGATCGCCTATTCTTGTTCCCGGCATTTGCTAGGCAAAGAGTCGATGATTGGTCGGAAATGTGCACATTTCACGCTTATTGTCTTAGTGAGAGGATTTTGGAAACGAAGCACGCTTAACCTTAAAGAAAAGAGCTGATTGAATCCGGCCGGCCAATCAACTAAACGGCTCGATGCATCGGAAACCTACTCTATTGAGTCACGACGTCCGATAGGCCTGATCGAGAAATATTTGCCGGATATGTATCCCAGCTAGTCCCAAACTCCGATACCGGGGAACCCACATTAGTTTCCATTCCAAGCGGGACCTGTTTGAACTATACACGTCTAACATGCGTGGTGCAGCTCCGCCGATTAGGAAGGATAACGAGAGCGTCTAATGGAGTTACAAGACGGAGCAACCACTTGTGCGCCTAAATTTCGGTGATAAAATAAAAAATAACAGTCACAGATGTCCGTGGGAATGTCGTAGTAACGGATTTGAAGGGGTTTGCATATCGAGGAACGATTGCGGGATACTTAGTATTGGCATGTTTACCTCTGTGAGGTGACCTGCTATTAGCTTTCTGTACATGTGCCTTCGAAAACGCTGGGTTTTCTCAAAGATTCTTTTCTCAGATCTCTTTTTCCAAAAATTGGGACATCCATAAGCGGCTTACGATATGTTTCCATCGAAATCTAGACTACAGATTCTGCTGGACTGGTCGAATACAGACAAACATGCCTTCTTGTGAACTGTGGAATTTCGTCCCGGAGTCAGTTACTACCTTTGTGAGAAGATCATTTGGGCCATGCACTTCTGCAGACGGCATGCCGTTCCGCCAACGGTTAGTGGTCGTTTCCGTTTCCGGTTTCGGTCAAATAAGAAACAGCTGGTGGTTGACTACCCCTGGAACTCAGCCAATGACACCTCGGTTTTACCGAGCTGCCCTAAGTTGAAGACCATTGAAAAATATCGATGACATTTATAAAGTGTCAACTGCCAAGCTTCAAAATATTGCTTTATTGCGGTCCATTACCTGTAGACCAAAAAACGTCTAGGCGCCAAACCGAATTAATACTCCAAACTTGAAACTCCGCAGCCATGTTTTCAGAAATGGAGCGATGGAGTTAACAGGTTGGAGATTAGTCGTTAACACCTTCCCAAATTGATATTGTTGTGCACAGCCTTTTTTGGAATAACCCACTTTCAAAACTAAATCGGCAAACTCAAACCTGATAATGCGATCCAAAATATTAAATTCACTAAGCCTTCGAAGCTGGTTAACAGGCGCGATTTTGTAGATCTTTAGATTTCGTTTGCCCCTTTTATGCTCGTTATCCATTATACTTTATTGACGTTTAGATGTTGCAATTGTTCATTTTTCGGATGCCGCCACTTCTCACGCACGTCTCACGTCTCACGTCCCACTTGGTCCCATAAGCCTATCCCACTTTGATATCAACCAATCCCATAACTGCATGCAGCATTTCCGATATGGAGGAAACAATGGGTTTGCTTTGAAGCATCTGAACGGGCGAAGTTTAAGGTCCCCAACTACATCCAATCTAAAGAGGCTAAAAAGAGAGGGGGAGACGCAGAATCGCATAGGGTATTAGTTTGTAAATGAAAACCAATTGATTACATACCTCTCAGCCCCAAGCTTTCATGGATAATCGAATGTTCACTCCATTTGATGTGTTGTCCCCTTTTTTGTATTCAACCTGAAAGCCTAAAGTGTCAAGTCCGCAGATGCAAACCCGGGTCTCGAAGATGCGCTAGTTTAACTATAAATCTGGACATCGCTGGAAATTTGAATTCAAGTGGCTCACAATTGCCTATGTCTGATCTTGGGGTTATTATGATTTAATGTTTGACAAACCTAAAACCTCATTGGTCAAAAAATAGATTTTCAAAATTTTGTAAGATCTACAATACAGAACTGGGCATTCAGATTCGTTGCTAGTCAACCACAGAACGGGTATTTCAATGAACTTGCCCAGACCAGCTAAACAAGTAAACGTCATCCATTGAATATTCGCGGCTACTGATTCAAAAGTCGAGATTCCCCAAAGTCCTTTTCATTTCAGCCACCACAACTTCAATGCACCGCCGTCCTACTGTAGCAGAGATGTCAGCAAATGGCGGATAATCAACTTCCTAATTGGGAATGCACCATGTGATCGAAATTTCCACAATAGGCAAGAAGTTGTGTTACTAGCATGCTGTTAAATAGACTTTTCATTGTGGACCTACGCGTTGACGCTTTGCGAGTTGGGTGTTGTAGTTGGCCACTCTCCTTCAATTCCACTCGTTAATTATTCTGACATCGTACTTGTTTAGCGTGGCTCTTTTCCGCTCCATGGTGCAGTCTGTAGCGCTGGTAGTGTATCGCAGAGCTCAACTTAGCCGTGTCAGATGCAGTCGCGTGCGGACGCTTAACTTGACACGTACACTTTGTAGTGGCCGCTATTGAATGAGACCTTTCTGGTCCGTTTTTGTGAATTCTGAATTCTCGAATTTCTTAAATCCACATTCACGGCATTTCGAGTGGCATTTCAGCTCTATTCGTTAGAGCCATACGGTACAAACCGCACCATGTATCTCGAGAGATTTAGCCGCGCATGGGTCGGACTACGGTCTTCAATTCTTGTTTGCAAGTCTTTACATCATGCTGGATCAGATAGGGTCTAGGCGATTTTACTGTGTATGCGCCCGGTCACGCAATGATTACATGTGGTCTCTCGGTAACAGTTCATTGTGCTGGTGGGTGATAGTGGGTGATGGTGGATGGCATGAACTTTCCCAGACGATCGGGAGTAACCTTCCGTAGTTGTTCATGAAGGGACCGAAATGGGAAGCAGCAACGGCAAGGCAAGGGGAAAGATGGGACTGCTTCAACGTCAACATATGAATGCAATGGTGTAGGCTTTGTTAATTTTATTATGAAAGCGCTTCAAGATATTACCTTAGACCGAACCAAAGAGTAAAAAATCTAACCTCAACCTGAAGTTCGAACTCGTTAAGCGCCAAGTTTGTTAACTATAAATTTAGTAATCACACTAGTTTTCCAGCCAGCGCGAGCTCGATCACCGATCTATCCCAAGCATACACCACCAGCTGCACCAGGCCTGGCAAAATCCTAGACTTATGTTTCATGCGAGCATGATTTCTGTTAGAATTCCCGTCAGCACGCTTGGTGCTAATGATATGCTAACCCAAAGCCCGAAGCTGAATCAGATACCCACTTGACACTTGACGTGCTGTCCGACTTTTGGCGGACAATCTCAATTTACAAGTTTCTGGTCCAAAAACGCATCCCAGATGGTGTCGCAAAAGATGCCAAAAAGGTCGATCAGAATTCCCCAAGCTCCTGCAAAAAAAGAAATCCATGCACTGCACGGTGGAATCAACGCTGGGAACGGATATCCCTTGTCCTGCACATCTGCATCATCCCAAAAAAAGCAATTTATCGATATTTATCGAACAATCCGTTATAAATCCTAGTCCCCGTCCAGTTTTTCAACTTTTTCAAACCTGTTCAATTCATCGTTGACGAAAAAGATTCCAAAACTCACAAAACTTTGCTATTTGAAAATGGAAATTCACTCGCTCATCAACACGGCTTCATTGAACCAGCAAAGGCAATTACCCGGTTTAACCCCGCCGCAATCGCCTCAAGATGGTGAGCTGTCGTCGCTCCCTCAGCAGAGCCAGTTTAGGCAGAGCTCCACTAGCTTTGCCCAAAAGACACCAAATTTTCAATTCAAATTGCCCCCCATACAATCAATGCTCGACAACATTGCCCAGAACGAGTCACAGGGTGCTTATTACCCTCAATTCCAGTCGTCAGCGCTGCCTTTGTCGCCATTATCGTCGAGATCACCTTCAGTTGTAAGTGTTTCGAGGCAAGAGCAAAGTCTCCAGCCACAAAATGCGCCACATCCTGGATCGGAAATGGGCTCGTTTCCTGCTCATGAATATCCGGCACCTCAGAAACCGCTAATTCTGATTTCCTCCCAGAGATCGTTCTCCTCCAACCATCCTTCATCCAAGAAAAAGAGGTCTAATTTACCAAAAAAGACCACAATGATACTGCTGACTTGGCTTAATGAAAATCTGAATCATCCTTATCCTTCGTCAAAACAGAAGAATGAGCTGATCTTCCAAACAGGACTAAGCTCACAGCAGCTGTCAAACTGGTTCATTAATGCCAGGAGGAGGAAGATCAGCTTGTTGAGGGAAATCAGAAACAACACAACTGAAGCATAGGACCATTCCAGCGCCATCGGTCCTGCTCAAAATTGGGTCTAGCCGTGAAGTTACTAGTTGAGCTAGTATCAGCGTTAAGCTTAAGCTACTGTTAGTTTGAGTGGGATGTGGTGAAGGTGCTATAATCGGGACGAGTATGGCAATTTTCACATCTGATTCATTACTTTTCACCATCCATATTTCCACCCCTCATCCACCTCACCATACACCTTACCATCCATTTTTCACACCGATTTCCACATCTCACATATCCACATTTCCCCCACACATTGCTGTATCATACTCGTTTGTTCTTTTTTTCCTTACTGCTTTTTTCCTGCTTTTTATCTTCCCTTCAGACTGCGTCTGGGGAATCTGTTCGTTACAAACAGGACTTCTATAAAAATCACTTGCTGTGAGAACCCCACGGTTTTGGGTTCCTTCAATTCATCGATCGCCAGATCTCAGTTCTATAGTTTACTTACTTGTATTTAGCAATAAATCTGTTCTGAAAATACCACGTATTTGGCAGTCAATGTGGGAGCCAAGGGAGTTCTGGGATTTGGGTTTATGTCCCACTAACGTACAAACGGCAACCCGTGATGGCGAGCAAGCTGCTGAGTCGGCTGATCTATGAGCTATGGAATATATAGATCATTCTATTCGATCTAGGACCTAGGCGAAAGCGCCTTTGTTCTCTCTCCTCTTACACTTCTTCGGTCGGATATCCTGGCTGGTGACCGCAGCTGGATGTAATCCATTCCGACAAAGCCTCCGGACTGCCGTCGGCTTCCCGAAGCAACACGGTTAAAATGACGAGGCGATGTTACTAAACAGAACGTACCAAGGCCTAATATTAAACGGCCAAGCTTTAATTTTGGCATGTGCAGGGTAGAGCAGGCGACAAAAACATGCCATTTCTGCTGCAAGATGTTTGCCTATGCAAATTTTATTGTGCCGTGGAGAATTGAAGAGATGGTGGTTAGCGCCGGTTAAACCGGCTAAATATAACTCCACACTATAATGATTTGCACGCATATCTACTTCCTTCCATAATATTTTCATCAGCCGGTTATAATGATCCATGCTTTGTAATAATTAAGCCTGCATTCTGAATTTTGACTGGTTCTAGAGTATTATAACTCAGTCTAGACAAGTATTAGTCCATTTTTTTAGCAAGTGGTAACTCACTCCGTATTATGTCACTTTTTAATTCCTCCTGCACCGGCTTAACCCGTACGACATATTGGTTACTCAGCGCTACCTATAATATTTCATTCTACCTGCGATACTGTCACATGCATATATCACTCTCGGTTGCTCCTACCAAGTTCGTTATAAAGTGTATTTTAGTCGTTTCTATTAGATCTATCTGAAAAAAAAAAACGTTTATCATTGCGGGCAACTCAGAGGCTTTATGCTCCCCACAGTGCAACAAAGAAAACAGCTAATTCATGCTTTAATTAATTCTTATTGATATCTTGATGGATTAGCTATGATTATTTGGTAATTTTTTTTGGTTTTTAGTATGACCAGCAAATTTTATTCCGTCACCGTGGGTAGCCGTTGAGTTGCTAGAGGCCTTCAGAAACCCCTTTCTATACACCTTGACCAAGCATCGCCTGTCGTTTTCTTTTGTCTCGTAACCGCATCAGGGACTATTTCTGCAGATTGAACTCAGGAAATTGCAGCCAGTAACCTGGTTTGCTGTCAAGTAGCTTCGAACTCGGAACAAGTTGGTTGGTCCGTTCTTCGCCGACATCTCGTATTCTTCACGCTCTCTCCGCATTCACCTCATATGGGGAGGTACAAACTCAGAGTCGCCCCTTGCTCCCGCTTGGCTCATGTGTGGGGGAACGTTCACCGTGAACTGAGTGTTCTCCCATTCCGAAACGCCAGGTCCAGATGCAGTTTCAGCGTCAGACCTGTAACTACCGCTTGGATGCCTTCTCTCGCGATAGCCACTGTTCTGCCTGCGATATCCGCCCCGCGCTCCTCTTCTGCTCCTCGTATCCGTGTGCGTGCGTTGACCTCCGTTTTCGCCCCGGCCAAACTGCCGGCCTTCTGTAAACCCGGGGTCCAAGTCTATAGCCATGCTTCTTCCATTGATTCTCGTTCCGTTCAAATATTTGACTGCGGAAAGCGCTCCCTTGGAGTTGGCAAATATGATGAAACAGAACCCGGTGGGCGTCATGGTGTATCTGTCCAGACCCATGATGATTTTCTTCACCACCCCACACCGACTGAATAGCTCATATAACTGTTCTTCTGTTGTTTCCACTGAAAGTTTGCCGATATACACAGTCCCTGACGTGACCGACTTCTTGAGGTTTTCGTATCCATCCGGGTCTCTCCTGGCCTTTCTGACCAGATATAGCGAAGGCTGGTCCAGACGGTACGATGTGTTCTTGAACACAACTTCGTCGAATTCCTTCAAGTCTGACATTGCTGAATTGGAGATTTTGATATCGCTACTACAACACCTTCTCCTTGGTTGACAGAAAGCCTTGAAAAATAGAGGTCGTACCCTAAACGAATCTGTTTTGTTACACGACCGTTACCCTGCGAAAACGTGGGCCATCCCTATTAACCCCGACTTCGTTCCCAGCCACCACCATCCTTAAGTCGTTCTTAATACACCCAGTATTTTGAAAAGGTAACGCCAGCAAAAGAACTTCTAGTTTGACAAGTCCACACTGAGCGTTTCAGGTTTACTTGTGCCAATTTTTTCTCGTGTCACTACCCCAACCCCCTAGTCCTACACACATCCCTACCGCCGGATCTAATGGGAAATAGCCCGTCCAAAGATGACTCTTCGGTATCAGCTACCGCTTCCAGTGGAGCTGGAGCTTCCAGCTCTCTATCTACGTCCTTGATTGCTGCCGCGGAGGATGAGCCGTCGCGAAGTATGCACTTCAAAAAACAAGCGCAGTTGGAGAGGCATCCAAGATCCATTACTGAGATTCCCAGCAGCCCTCGTTACGATGAGGACGCGATGAAGACACCCAAGCAGAAGTATCAATCAACGCATGAGTCGGGATCACCTTTTGATCTAGAAATTGGGGTCAATATGGCAAAGGCACTCTCCATATCGAAGCTCTCCCCCCACAATTTCCTGGTTCCCACGAGCAATTCTCCCGAAAATGTGTCTTCTTCAATGGGTTCGGACAATTCGTATTTCACAGATGTTTCCTCAAGCTCAGTTTCACCTTCGACAACTCCACCGTCCAATCAGGAAACTCTTTTGTATCCTATAGGAGTGAAGGAGGATGCCTCTGAAGAGGCGTCTTTTCCAGGTCAATCCCCTCCTTTAATCGAAAAGCCCTCTTCGGAAAACTCGTTTGATCTCGATGCCATAATTGAAACTTTGGTTGAGACAGGCTTCTCGCGATCATACTCACGGAAGTTTAAAATCAGCGGCAAGGATATCAAGTACATTTGTGCCAGTGCTAGGAAGATATTTTTGGATCAACCTATGCTATTGGAGCTTGCATCCCCTGTTAAAGTAGTTGGGGACATTCATGGTCAATTCCATGATCTTTTGCGGGTGTTCAAGCTGTGTGGATTTCCTCCTCACTCCAACTACCTTTTCCTTGGCGACTATGTGGACCGTGGAAAACAGTCTCTGGAGACGATTCTGTTGCTGCTGTGTTTAAAAATCAAATACCCTGAGAACTTCTTCATGTTGAGAGGAAATCACGAATCGGCTAACGTCACTAAGATGTACGGTTTCTACGATGAATGCAAACGGCGGTCTAGTCTCAAGACTTGGAAGACAGTTGTGGACGTTTTCAACGCACTGCCGGTGGCGGCAACTATAAGCGACAAGATTTTCTGTGTTCATGGAGGTTTATCACCCACACTAACGGATTTAGACCAGATTAGAAGCATCAGAAGACCTACAGATATCCCCGAATCCGGTCTGTTGGCCGATCTCCTATGGTCCGACCCAGACTCGGAAACTAACAATTGGTCTGAGAACGACAGAGGAGTTTCTTACTGTTTCGGAAAGAAGACTGTGACCAAATTCTGTCAGCATTTCAACTTTGACCTGGTAGCCAGAGGCCACATGGTTGTCGAGGAGGGCTACGAGTTCTTTGCTAAGAGGAAACTGGTGACCGTGTTCTCCGCTCCGAACTATTGTGGAGAATTTGACAATTGGGGTGCTGTTATGAGTGTGAATAAGGGTTTGATGTGTTCCTTTGACTTGCTCAAGCCTACACAGAAGAAGTAGAAGAGAAACGACCATCCAGATTGGCCCATCGGATGGCTCAGTTTCCTCCTCATGACATGACTCGGGCCAGTAATAGTCGGCTCGGACATTTATGATTTTTTATACGCGGCTGGGATTTTTGTTTGCATTTTCATTCAGTTTAATTGCTATATTCATCTGCTCACGTAATCATCTCGAGGACTGATCTCGAGGAACGATAACGATGGTCAAGGGTTACCCTGTCGTACCCAAATGGGACCCTAGAAAGTAATGCTTCTGCTCTCTTGTTATCTGTTTGATGGTTGTTCTTTTCTCTTCAAAACTTGATTGAGATCCAAACTTAATTCTATCATTCCTTAATACCGCCATCTGATCACACCTGCCGAAGACTCAACATCAATCACGTGTTTCCTCAGCCCCTGATCACGACCAGAGCAAAACACCACAAGAGCGTCTTCTATTTCATATTGGTGCAATCCATATCACATCTTCCGAGCTAACACAAATAATTTTGTTTGGAATGACTCCTCGGCGAATGACAAGGGCAAGAAACCCGTCTGGCCTCCCAGAAGCAACCGAGTACGACGAAAATGACCCTGGTGAGGAGTCTCAAGAGGAAGTCACAAGGTGTGTCTGTGGCTTTGACGAACTTCAGATCCCTAAAAATGCGCCTGAGTTCAAAGAGGTCGATACTGGATTCTTCATACAATGTGAGGAATGTTCTGCGTGGCAACATGGTTATTGTGTGGGCATAGCCGACAACGACGAGGCCCCTGCTTCGTACTGGTGCGAGCAGTGCAAGCCTCAGTTGCACACGCTATTCGAGGATAATTACGGAGTCACGCGGAGCTGGTATAACCCTGATGGAGAACACAAGGTCAAAAGAAAGAACAACAGGAGAGCGCCTCCCAAGGTTGTGGAGATCAAGGAAGAAAGGAGAGAGAGGGAAGGAGAGGATAAAAAGGTGAATGGGCATAAGCGAGAGAGATCTCGTAGCACATTAAATTCCCGCGATACCGAATACGAGCTGAATTTGAAACGAGCTCTAGAGGAGAGTGCGAAAGAAAGCGGCGTCCAGCCTGAAGAAATCGAGCTGTCAGCCTCTGAGATTCGCGAGATCAGATCACGCACACGAAGCCACGATCCTAGAGGCGAGAGATTTCACGATTTGGGGCTAGAAGACGATGAGGATGGTGGGGATGAAGCTGGGGACGAGGAGGCCTCTGGAAACGCAGAAGGCGTGGAAGAGGGTGTTGATGCTGAGGCTGAAGAGGATGAGGCCACAGATATACAGCTCGAAAAGGCCTCGGGCAAAAAACGAAGGGCCGATAGCGATTCCGAAACTGTTCCAGATCCAAATGTCTCACGGGAAAAGGAGGCCAACGAGGATAAGAAAATTATACCTCCGGTTGAACGATCAGGAACCAATACCGAAGACGGTTTCGATGTGCCTGCAGTTGTCAAACAGCATCCCAAACGCAAGAAGCCCAGTCCACCATCCCAAGAAAATGGCTCTAGAACATCACCCAGGAAGAACGGCTCTAAATCCAAGAAAGGAAAGTCTGAGCAACTCGATTCGGACAAGCCTTTCAAGCCTCGCGTTCCCCAACAAAAATCAACTATCGGTGAAATGCGCAAACGAGTTGCTGGAATCCTGGAGTTTATAGGAAGGACCCAAGTTGAAATGGCCAGTGAGCAGGAACAGAGATCACAGCTAACGAGGTATGTCGAAGATAAGTCCTGGGAGGTGTTGAACTCGGATGTTCAGAGACAGCTTGTGGATGGGTATTCGAGTACAGTTGGGAAGATGGACGATTTGACTAGGAAACTACTTGGATGGGAACAGAAGTTTGGCAAGTATGGAGATCGTCATGCGTGATACGTTACTCGGTTAAATAGGTTGATTTTCATGATAGTCAGATTTATATGATTGTTCTGCAGAGTATCGAACTGGTGACATGCGACCATGTTGGGGTAGCGAGATAACTTGAATGGCTCACATTCTTATGATCCGGTTGTCATTAGGCATCGCGTGATTGACCATAACATTCCACCTATATATCCATTCTTGAATGAAGTCGGCTCTTGGCCCCGTTGGCTCCACCACCAACTCCCAACCCCCACTTCTCTCCAGCTTTGTGAATCGACTCCACAAAACTGGATGTGTTATGGATGCATGTGCCACCAATAACTATTCGCACCGAGTCGTTTTGTGCGTTCAAGTTCGCTATTACTCTGGCCTCCTCGTAGGTCACCCCACCCACGAAAAACAGGATTATGTCCTGGCTCCTTTCGTTCACAAGGTTCGCGTTACGCTGTTGGCCGTCGGATGAGTCAGCCACTGGGAATTGAACAGCTGGAAGTTTTCCTTTTGCACACTTTGAGACAATCGATTCTACCCTTGGAATATGCTGCATGTAAATATTGTCAGTCTCGTGGTTTGCCGTGAGACCAGCAATCAAACTATTTGTGGCTTTAGTGAACACGGTAGAGTCTGCATCATCAATACGACGTTTCAGTCCTGCGTAAGCCAGCAAACTAGAGATGAAGGTGAGTTTATCTGGAGCTACCCCCTGGGATCCCAAAAGCTTCAGCAAACGAGGTAACTGGTTGTTGGAGTTGGACTCGTAACGAAGTGCGTATAATGCAAGAAGACGGATCTTGGCATCCTCTGAGATCGGGACCACTGGATTGGAGGGATTCTCAGGATTCGGTCTATCCTGCAATAATCTTTCGAGCTCTTGCAAGTCGTGATTGTGGTTCTCATTGCACGACATCGTCTGCTCGAGCTCACTAACTTCCCATAGTCTATCGGCATTAATTCTTCTGTCAAGTTCGGACGCCAGTGTCATATGCTTCGCGACGTTGTTGGATAGCTTGCGGAATTCTGGATACGACTCCATGAACTTTTTCATATCCTGAAGAGAATCCATATTTAAGTTGTTTTTCGTCTGTTGCTTGTACTGATCCACATAATGCTTGATCTTGTCACTCAGATCTCCAAAATTCAAATACATCGAATCATGGTAGAACGTATCTTGGTCGCTCGATAGAACTACCTGTTTGAGTTCCTTTGGAGCATTTGGAATACACGAAAGATCCACTGTGTTATTCGCTATACCTATCAGCTCATGAACCATGGATTGGAAAGTCCAAGGGATCAACAGAGGCGTGATGGGGTCATTCTTTCTATCCAATATCAGCAGAAGGGGCGGGGTGTCCTGTTTCACACCAAACTCAAACAGCTGCACGTTCTGGCTGATCTCATACGCCAAATCGCTTGCCAGCTTGGAGGCCATTTTCGAGTTTCTCTCAAACCGTATGATGGGTTTGGCCTTGAGAGAAAGAAGAACTGACATCATCCCTTCAGAAACTTTGTTAAAAACGCCGGGACTCCAGCTATCTATGGCGCTCCCAAAAATGTCGCTTTGGTTGAATGAAAACAGATCCTTGTTCACCACGTAGTAATCCTCAAAGATCTCCACAACTTTAGATACAAGCTCCATATTATCGGACTCGGCCAAACGTTCCAGTTGCGGTTTGGAAACGATGTTGTTGAAATATATCGAGTATCCCGAATACTTTGGGTTCTGTAATTCGTCAACCAAGGCCGTAATGGTTTCTTCCGTAGGTTTTACGAAACAAATACACTTGAGATGTCTCATTTTATCCCTCGATAGGTTCTCGAGACGGCTGTAAACAGGTTAGTGGCAAGCTAGGGAACAAAAAATTATATGTCATACATACTCAATGAGATATACCTCATGCTGCAACAATTCAGATTGGGTAGAAACCAGGGATATAATCGGGCCCTTGTTTAAAATGTTAGTACCACTGTTATCACTGATATCTGCAGATTGGCACTCACCGTAAACTGGTCTAGCAACAAAACACGGATATCGGACGAATCATTATCCGATCTAGCTAGAATTCGGTCAACATAACCGTGAGAAACCTTCAAAAGATCCATGTTTGCCACGAATGATGAAGTCGCAACTGAGATTGAAGTCAAGCATAAGTAACTAGACATGATGTAGTGATACCTATCGAGCTGTCGGGTAGTGTACTTGTTGAATTATCCCAATGAGTTTTGCACGACTGAACAGCTGCCATCTGGCTCCATATCAGCCTTATTAGCCTCAGATTTGTAATGTTAGCTGCCACGGATATCAACAGTTCATTCATGACAAGCACTCCGCAACCGCCGTTTCCGCTGGTGCGAGGCAAGTCGTCGTCGTCCCTAAAGGACGAGGGCAAAAAGAGGCTGGTGAAAAAGTTTACTGCTGGTAAGGTGATGGCGCACAACAGGAACAACTCCTACGGCAAGAACCTGAACAAGCTGACGAGAATCACCTCACTAGAGCCTCAGGACAGTGTGATATCAGAGGATAGGCCCAAGATGAACCGGTCGAAGAGTTCCGACCTGATTCTCTCAAAGTCATCCCAAAGGTCACGGTCCAGCAACAAGCTCAACACACTGGCCTCAACTAAAAAGAGCAGTACGAATTTGTTCAACCATCCTCTGAATAGACCGAGGTCTAGAGGAAGCAAGGTTATTATTGAATTCAGCGATAACAAGCAAGAATCGGACGAAGACGAGGAGGAGGTGGAAGATTTCAACGACAACGTCAAGGTCCTAGGTGTTGAACAAAGCAGAATTGAAGAAACACCGGAACCGGATTCGCCCGAAGAGGAACAAAACGACAATTACACAGCAAAAGAAAGGTCAGACATATTGACGGCATACAATTCCGGATTTTTGCTATCTCAGTCTACTGGCGTAGAGAGACCACTGGCAGTCAACTCAGTTGCTCCCCATAACCACAACCTTCACAACCTCATGTTAAATAACAAAGTTTCTCAAGCGGGAAACTATTTTGGACTGTCAGCGAAAAGGCCCCCCTTTGCTTCTAGATTATCATCTCGGGGGTCGTTGAACCAGGTCGAACAGACTTTCACACCAGCTGGGTCTGAACCTGCATCGCTATCGAACCAAAGTTCCCAGTTGATCTTTCAGCCTTCTTCTACGGGATTGAATAAAGAGATTTCCCACCAAGACAGAACCTCCGATAAACCTTCAATCAAGGATTTCTCGGACTTTCTGAGTACGAAGTCATCGTCCGTTGAAACCAGAACGCAGCAAAAGCTATGGCTGCAGCGCGAGAGTGCACTATTGCCTAGTTCGGGAGATTCCTCAACAAATCTGGTGGGAGCTTATGCTACAAACTCTCAGTTCCGCACGGAATTTGAGAAGTTTGCGAGGGAATACCTGAACGTGAGGAGGTATGTCAATCCCACCGTTGAGTCTTTGAAGCGGATAGACATTCCTCGGGTGAAGCTTGCTAAGAATCGGAGAGCACAGGACATCGAGTCTGTTTCGAGGGAAAACTCTGCGTTTGCTTTCCAACAAAGACAGGATTCCAATGAAGTTCAGAAGCATCTGGCGAGGATGTGGCAGAATGGATGCAATCAGCATCTACCTCAGAAACCTGAACTGAGGAATCAAGACAGGTTCTCAAGCAGTCTCAAAAGTCAAAGAGACCAGGAGGGTACGGCGTTTGGGAATGTGAACTTAGCCATGACGCAGACCGCACTTGCTTCGCCTCAAGCGCCTACGACCAGAGCGCAGGCCGCTAGAGGCCAATTGACGAGAACCAATACAGCTCCTGGAATGATGAATGGGGCTCAAGTGCATATTAGTGGTAAGATGGTAAGCAATTGAGAAAGAGCCAAAGCACGTTAAATCAACTCATGTCTTGGACGAGAGCTAGCAGATAGATGGCAGCGATGGTGGTGAGCCCGCTCAAAACTGAATGGAATTCAGATATTAAAGAGGCTTTTTAACAGCCACAGGAAAATGATTATGATAAAGAAACTAAAGAACTGAGCGATCAATTGTCGGTAAATCAAAGAAAGTAAGTAATGAGTGAGAAATTATTAGAGTCATGGGAGATCTTCTTTTTTGTAAAAATTCTTGAAAAACCTAAGAAACATAGAAAACAAAAGAGCCCAAAGAGATCAGCCAAACCCATTTCAAAAGTCTAAAAAAGCCCGAAACAAAGACTTTCCACTTACCCAAGTCTCGGTATAGGTTCACATGAAATTATTTCACGATCTTGGAATGCTTCCTCATTTTTTGGAGCCGCACGTTCCATGTAATGGTTAAGGCACGACAATCCGTTCAACATCCATCCCTAAACCAAAGGCAATGTAGACCAAGTCACATCTCCAGCAACCAGCCAGTGTGTCTGAAACTGATCCGCAACATACTCAGTATGTCGAAAGTGTAAGTGTCGATGAAGTCTTTGTTTTAATAGTTTTGTTGTGGGTAGATGACTGCGAGAAAATTTGAGCTTTTTGCAGTGCCCCGATCCACGAATTTGGGGAACCGAGGTACTAACGTCATATCAGACCAAGAAATTTCAGGCTCTTAGAAGAGCTGGAAAAGGGTGAAAAGGGCCTCGGTGCAGAATCATGTTCGTATGGATTGCAAGATCTGGATGATATTTCCATGACCTCCTGGAATGGCACCATACTTGGTCCTCCAAATTCATCTCACGAAAACAGAATCTACTCTCTAACTTTGGAATGTGGCGAAGAGTACCCAGAAAAGCCACCAAAGGTGAAATTCTTGAGCAAGATAAATCTTCCATGTGTTAATAGTACGACAGGTGAAGTTGATGCATCCAAGTTCCCAACTATAGGGAAGTGGAAGCGGAGCTATAATATGGAGATAGTGCTATTAGAGTTGCGGAAGGAGATGGCCTCTGCTGCAAATCGCAAGTTGGCACAGCCAGCTGAGGGGTCTACCTTCTGAGGACCGGGGAACGCAGAGAGTCGAGGGTGAAGTTGATGATCGTTTGTAACCTTCAGATAGTTTCCAATCTGAAGAAATTTGACAGGCCAAATTTGGCAATGTATGAAGATCTGGTCAAAGAGCCCGTATACATCCCGAAATTTTTGTCCGTTGCATTGATAATATATCTAACACAAGTTGCATTGTAGAAGTCACTGTCCGTGTGAGAATAACCATATTCAATAGCTGATAGCATAGATCTAGCCAGACCCATCTCCATACTCTTTCTCAAATTTCAAACGTAACACCTCGTCTGCAGCCATAAACCGTTTCAAAATATCCCCTTTAACAGCCGCCTGGCCCTGACTGGACAAATAGTCGTTGTCCTTGGCTGTGGTAACCTCAATGTTGATGTATCTTCCATCCGCTTTGTCAGTAGGCCAGCTTTCTATCTCAACTTTGCGGTCTCTCGTACTTTTAGACTTTTCCGATATGGCTCCTATTAAGCATCGCTGGAAAAGCCGTTTGAATGGCAAACATATCACCTCTGTTCCATTGAAAGTGCATTGGTTCTGGGTGATGGAGTATAGATCGCAGTCCTTTCTTGGTTTCGCAGGTGAGTCAACCAGAACACCACTAAACATCGTCTCTACTTCCTCCTTGGAGTAAACCGGCACTGGAGGTGCCATTATAAACAATACTGAGAAAAGCGCTCAAACCGAATAAATAATGGTGCCAAACAGAGAAGAAGAAGAAGAAGCCTTCAATGTACCAAAGACAAGTGACATCATCCCAAAAAAAGGCGTTCCCTACTCATCTCCTCAATCCAAACACGCGCCATTAACTCAATCTGAATAGTGTCTTGTTCCTGTCTTCTTTACAGTCAAATACCATCAATTCTACCCAATGAACATCGAGCACATTACTGGATACGCCTCAAAGCATCTCGGCCCTGAAAATGAGACTTTTGCATACGGAACCGCGGGATTCCGCATGCTGGCCTCGAAACTGGACCCTGTCGTTTTTCGTGTTGGGATTCTGGCTGGCCTGCGGTCGAAAGCCTTAGGGGGAAAGACAATTGGTGTGATGATAACCGCTAGTCACAATCCGCCCAAAGACAACGGGATCAAAATTGTGGATCCGTTTGGCGAGATGTTGGAGCAGTCATGGGAGGCCATATCCACGAAACTGGCCAACAGTCACGATTCCGAGTCGTTGATCTCCACCATTAAGGAGATTGTTGAGTCACAGAAAATTGACTGGAGTGCTCCCTCCAACGTGGTGGTTGCTCGTGACTCGCGTGAGTCCGGTCCCAAGCTTTTGGCCTCCACAATTGACGGGTTGAAGGCCATTGGGGCCTCCTTCAAGGACTTTGGCCAGCTCACCACACCCCAATTGCATTATCTTACGCGTTGTTTCAACGATTCAAGTTTTGGTAAGCCAGATGAGGAAGGCTACTACGAAAAACTCATTCTGAGCTACTCGAAAATCATGGAGTTGTGGGGAGTCACGGACGACATCTCAATCACTGTGGATGCTGCCAATGGGATTGGTGCTGACCAGATCCTCAAACTGCAAAAGTATTTCGAGCAGCATGTGAAGTTCACATTGGTGAATGGATCAAGCGATGTTCCATCAGCTCTGAACTCCGATTGCGGAGCTGACTTCGTTAAAACAAACCAGAAACTTCCCTCTGGCATTCCAGACTTTGAGCCCTTGAAACTGTACTCTTCCTTCGACGGCGATGCGGATAGGGTGGTATTCTACTATTTGAACAAAGAAGGCACCTTCAGACTGCTTGATGGTGACAAAATTGCAACATTGCTTGCTTCATTCATCAGCTCATTGCTTTCCAAGCTGGATGGAAAGTCCTTCAAGTTGGGTATCGTCCAGACGGCATACGCCAACGGGTCGTCCTCCAATTACATCACTAACGTTTTGAAACTTCCATTGGGAGTCACTGCCACTGGAGTCAAACATTTGCACCACAAAGCCCAGTCTTATGACATTGGAGTGTACTTTGAAGCCAATGGCCATGGAACAGTACTGTTTTCGGATAACTTTGTGGAGGCGTTGGAAGCACAGGACTTCACTCCGGGCACGGAGCAATACAAAGCTGCATCCACTCTTAGGTTGCTGGTGGACTTGATCAATCAGACGGTTGGCGATTCTATTGCAGACCTTCTGGCTGTGTTGGTCGCATTGAGACTCGGAGACTCGAAGACGCCTGAAGAATGGGATTCTAACTACACTGATTTGCCCAATCGTTTGTTGAAAGCCCTGGTTAAGGACAGAAACCAATTCAAGACCACGGATGCCGAAAGAAAGCTGGTGGAGCCGGTTGGTCTGCAGAGTGAGATCGACGAGATCGTGGCGGAGTATCCCGGAGGAAGATCGTTTGTGAGAGCTAGTGGAACCGAAGATGCTGTGAGGATTTACGCCGAAGCCAACACGATTGAGGATACCAATGAGTTGGCCTCCAGGGTGAGTAAGCTATTGGAAAAGTATTAGGCGGTCATAGTGTATGAGCTGAAAGACTAGGGAAGAACTAGTCAGAGAGATATGAAGAATCTGGTTGAAGAGATGCATCAGCTATAAGGCAGCGAATGGAGAGGAACCATTGTGAATGATAGGAGGGAATGCTTCTACAGATCAAATACCTATGTTGGTTTGAAAGATGAGGATGAGACGTTTAAAAATGATACCTTTACCAGCTCATCGAGGTGTTAACATATTGAGGAACCAAGTGATAAATCTTAACTGCCCCAAATGCAGAACTAATCTGGACCTTCAATTGGTCTTTCAAAAATCTAAACCTAGTTCAAACCTAGTTTAAACGCAGTCTAAACGTAGTCGATGTCTTCGTATTGAAATTCTCAAATGCCATACTATTAAACCCAGTTTCCGTTTCTGTACTAATTAGATGCATCTCGGTGTATACGTTTTCCCCGATTGGGAAACTGACCCATCGCCTAAATCAGCTGAAACTAACTCCCCCTTCTATTGTTGAGAAATGATTTGAGCAACGAGTGTTTCTTCCACAGTATTTAATATATTCGCTTGAGCAAACATCTACTTCTCTCAGCAAGCCATGTTCACCATGGCCAGACCAGAGAACCGGCAGCTGGCTCTTTTTGATCCGCAGGTGCTCGTGTACACAGCAATCTGCTCCACAACTGTTCTAGGAGGATACAAATTCTACACCAACAATCTGCGACGAATCTCCAGAACTGCTGAAATTCCGTTGAAAGCCTTCAGAAGACGATTCTTGGTAGGAAAAGTCACATCAGTTGGAGACGGCGATAACTTTCATTTCTACCACTTACCTGGAGGAGTTTTTGCTGGTTGGGGCTGGCTTAGAAAGTTGCCTCGAGTGAACAACTTCAGAGGGTTGAAGAACAAAACCCTTTCGGTGAGACTTTGTGGTGTTGATGCTCCTGAAAGGGCACATTTTGGGAAGCCAGCACAGCCCTTCAGCGAAGACTCGCTGATATGGCTGAAGAGCTACATCTTGGGCAAGAAGGTCTATGTGAAGCCTTTACAGGTGGACCAATACGGGAGGGTAGTCGGAAAGGTGAAAATATTGAAGTGGAACGGGCTAAGAGACGTGAGCGAGGAGATGATCCGATATGGAATAGGCGTGGTGTACGAGGGTGGAGCCAAATTTGCGGAGTTTGATGGTAAGGAGGCCAAGTACAAGAAGCTAGAGTCGAGAGCGAAATCACGCAAACTTGGGTTATGGGGAGTGAAGACGAAAAACTTTCTGACTCCGGGGGAATATAAGAGGAAGTACGCATAACGGGATGGAAGGAAGGCTGTGTAGGTTGCTTATGCCAACGCAACCATAGCCTTCATGCCAAAGCCAAACACTCAATATCAACATATCGTCGGAGTCATCTCGTGCTCTCGCTAAACCATCAACATTTGACATCAATGCCCTGTCTGTGCTCGTTCTGCCTCAGCTCCCTCATCACCTGGGCTGCCACGAACAGACACACAGACGACGCCAGAAAGAAGAGCCAACCGTCAAGCGTTTTGAACATAGAATCACACAGCATTTTCATACCATCATAGTTCAAACAGAACCCATATAAATTTGCAAGCATCATCATCCAGATGTTAACTACCGCACCACAAGCACAAACGTGTCTGTACCACCATTCGTTTGTGTATGGCTGAAAAGTTTGGGTCAATATGATCTCTGGCAGAAGGAACAGAACCACCAACCAGCCCCAGATCAGAAGACGCAGCTCAATATCGTGCCAAACAGCGACAAAACTGAAGACCGCCAGAGAGGTCACTATCCGGTACCTCGAACCCCCTAGAGGCACATATATATACTTGAGTAACCACCGGTTGTAGGATCTGTGCCACGCTCTCCAGAAACACATCGCCGAGTAGTTGTTGTCCATACACCGAATCATGTTCTCAGGAGGATCAATTCCGTCAATCAAAGACCACAGTCTGAACAGTCTCCATGGAATAAGCAGTTTGAGCCAGATGATGTTTAGATTGAAGAGACCAATCATGGAGATCTGGAACGGAGTATCCCCCTCCCAGGCCTTTGCTTTGGCAACGGCAACCACGTAGGTGAAGTGCAACAAGGTCTCCATCACCAGAATGCAGAATCCGAGTCTGAGGGCGTACACTGCAATCCGCTTGAAATTGATTGTGGGTAAGGTGTGGATCGTCTGATACATATAGTCGTTGAACGTGATGATTGGACCTGCAATGAACAACGGGGTGTACGTAACATATGCCAAATAGTTGAATATGTTGTAGTCCTCCAGATCAAATGGTGCCTCTAGTCTTTCTCTGTCATTCAAGAGCTTGACAGTTTGCTCCGGAGGAGTGACGTTCTTCTCCAACACACTGTAGGTTTCAGAGCCCGAGTCTCCAGCCATCTCTGACACGCTCTTGTTTGGCTGGTCGTCATCCTTTTTTATAGTCTTTGCCAATTGCTCCTTCCTGAACACATAATCGAGGTTGAAACTCAGAAACCGTAACATGGTGAAGTTGAAAAACACATCCCACCTATTGATGATCCCGGAGAATGTGTCCATGAATGACAAAAAGGGCAAAATCTGGCCATAACTGATACGTCTATACTTATCGTTGATGAATAGCGAGCCCACAGAGTAGATCCATAGCAGTGTAATGGATATCCTCCTATTCTGGATGTATCTACCGATGCAAAATGCAGTCATAATATGCACCAGTATCTTGATGCAGTTGAATCCATGTGCCCCAAACAAGAAAATCAGACCAAAAGCAAAGTCAAAAGTCCTCCTGGCAACACCAAAGAACAGACTGATCCTTCTTAGAGTGGAATGAAGTAGGATCAACCCACCTAATAGCATGAAATTGTCTCTGAAGAACTTATACTGAGCATCTGAATTGTCCACTTTCCTCCCAAACATCCAACCATTCGACAGAATTCGCTCATAACGATAATAATTCGGATTGGTCTCATTGGAGGCCTCCATGGCAGCTTTAAACATCAAAGGAACTACCACCACAAAAACGGCTAGGTACACTCTGAACTCCACAGTAGACCATCTCGATTTGTGCGCCTTGCTTATTATTTCCTGTCTTTTTTTCATAGACTGGGCCGAAGGCTCAAGCCTTCCGTCCAAAGTTTGGAGCGCGAAGAAACTTGAAAAACTCATACGTGGAGAGAATCAGGACCTGGATCGAAGGATCTTGTGGATATGTCACGTAAAGGACATCACAGCCCTAACTGAAGTCTGTCATTTTTTGTCAGGGCAGGTGTTTCTCTGCCAATTATGGACTGGGCACCTTTCTCTTCAATCACTCTCAAGAGAGTTGTAAGCAAATTTGATACAGCTTATCTGAGTGTCTCTTTTCCGCCAGAGTATATATTTCTAAATATGACACAGGAAAAAGACTCCAAGGACTCGTCTAATTTCAAGCAGCGCCTGGAGAGAAGACCGCATCCCCCTGGATGGGTCCAGCCCAAAGCGCCATACAACCCATATGACCCAGCCGATCTGAGACCTCCACAAGGGTATCCCTCCGAGTTTGACGAGACAAATAAAAAGATCTTTGGAAAAATCGCACAGGATTCGACGGATTACACAAAGATTCGTTTTGGTATGAAACGGTTGGAGTATACTCCCAAACCCCCCAGTGAGCTATATGCTGGTAGATACAAGATTCTGAGAAGAGTGAACACGAACACGCGGTTTGAGAGGGGTTCAATGTTCGGTATGAAGCTGGCAATCTGGGCCGTGGGTATTTATGGTGTGTTTTTCGCGAAATGGAACGAATACGATAACGTCTTTGCGCCGTTTAGGAGGGCACAGTTACAGTTCAGGTATTTCCTTACTGGAACTTTGACTAAGGAAGAGATGGCTGATCTCTATCCAAGACAGAAGAAGCTCCCATCAAGACCGCTGAGTAACGAGGCGTTTTACGACCAGGAGAGGCGTGGTGCTAAATCCAACTACGACAACGAGGAATTCATACTTGATAGACCTGCGTTGATCCACGAGGTGGAGGCCGAGAGAGTGAAACAGATGGAGGAGGAGCGTTTGCTGAGGGCTGTTGACTTGGCAGAGCAACAAGTAAGTTTGAAACAGGCCAAGCTGGGAGAGGAAAGTAAGCATTGGTGGAAGGTGTGGTGATAGAGAGAAGAAGCGGGAACTGGCGACTCCACCGCGATATTGCTGGACAATGAGAATAGCGCATGATTGTATATAGTAGAATGGAGTAGAGAGCACTTTTATTGCCGATTTGCAAGACTTGAAATACTGCGTAACCATCATCATGGTGTATAGCATGCTGGTAAAGTGTGAGGGAGCATAGTAAAGTATTGGCTGGTATAGGGTATCTTATATATATAGACATATATACATGTATATGCCATTGGGCCCAAATATCCAATACTCACTCAAAATACTCACAATCTCATATACTAGACGCTTTCGGACCGTTCGAGATTGGATCACATGCTTGAACTCTGGGGGTCACACGACCCTTTGCTAGCAATTTACAAGCGGCGGTAAGACTTCACCCAGTACAACATGAGTTTGCTGTTGTTCACAATTGGGATTTATTTCGAGCATGACTGTACCGGAGACTGTATCCGAGTATACGCCCTTGAATTCGCGGCGTTGGTGGATTTTGCGAATTTCCATCAATCTGCTTTTGAGTTTGGTAGTGACTGTGGTCCAGCTGCCAATGTACATCTATCATTGTGTGAACAGTCTACTATTTTCGGCTTCACAAAGGAGGCAGAGCCCTGATAATATAACCAAGTTTATGCAAGAGGAGATTGTAGCACCCTTGTTTGATAGTTCATCCACGGAGGGCTCAAATGAGCTGGAGACCAAGATTGTGGAAGCACTGGACATAGTGGATATCGTTCATCTGCATGGATACAAGGTTCACGAGCATGTGGTTCAAACAAGGGACGGGTATTTACTGGCGATACACAGAATTGTTTCCAACAAGGTTACCCCTTCCACAATCGACTTGAGACTCAGTGGGAAGAAGGTGGTGTATCTCCATCATGGCCTGCTCACCAACTCTGAGATCTTCGTATTGGGAGATACCAAGGAAAAGTGCCTGCCATTTTTACTGGTGGACTTGGGATTCGACGTTTGGCTCGGAAACAACAGGGGAAACAAATATTCGAGGAAACACATCAGTCTTTCACCAAACTCCAACGAGTTCTGGGACTACTCGTTGGACCAGTTCGCCATGTTCGATATCCCCGATACGGTGTCGTACATTCTGGGGGCCACAAAACGAGAGAAACTGGCCTACATAGGCTTCAGTCAAGGGTCTGCACAATGTCTTGCTGCTCTTTCTCTGAGTCCAAAACTAGGTGAGCAGATAGAGCTGTTTATAGGCCTTTCTCCGGCCATGATACCCCAAGGTCTCTGTCATCCTTTGACTTCGCTTTTCGTTTATTCTGCTCCAAGCTTTATGTTTCGATTATTTGGGAAGAGGGCAATACTTCCCTCGGTTGTGTTTTGGCAACGGATATTTGGCCCTGCGCTATACGAGCAGGTAGTTGACAGGTCATTGATCATTCTCTTTGGCTGGAAATCCAAGAATCTTTCAAAGGCCCAAAAGACGGTTGGGTATCCTCACATTTTCTCTCCAACGTCGGTGAAGTCTGTCATTCATTGGTTTCAGATAATTTCCAGCGGGCGGTTCCAGATGTACGATGAAGGCGGAGCTGCTGGGTCTAAACTAGTGCCTCTCTCTGGCTCTTCCACTAAGACCCACCGTGTGGCTCCGTTCCCTATCCAGACAATTTCCACCCCTATGCTGCTTATATATGGTGAGGCAGACTCCTTGATTGATATGGTAAAGACCCGTGACAACCTCAGCTGTCCTTGCGAGGTGGTGGGAATACCGAGCTACGAGCATATGGATACGCTATGGGCCGACGACGTGAATAGCAAGGTATTCGATCGAGTCATTAATCGCTTAATGGAGCCTCAAATCTAGCTTAGCTGTTGCTGGAGATCACACCGAAGAAACAGACACTCGCTCATCGCTTTAAGAGTAAATAGACATTATTCGTTAGACTTCGTATATGTTATGCAAGTTCTCCCTTTTCTAGGCAGAACTAGGTATGAATAATTTCAGATCGTTGTATATTCTGGTATTCCCTGAATTCATTTCATTCAGCTCGTCCACCAAAGACACCAGTCGTTTGTCTTGTGGGTCAAGTTTCGTGATCAATACCGAAGTGAATGTTCTTATGGCTTCGCTCCATCTCAAGGCATCGATAGTTCCACTCATTCTGAATGAGTACTTGGTGCAATCAGCCAGTAGCTGAAGTAACTCGGGGCTTGATGCTATGTCTTCGTATTTGATCAAACGCAAAGCAATGGCACAAGTTTGGTTCAAGGGCTCCGATTCGGAGACATAACTCAACAGCTCAATATCTCGAGGACTATAAATCCAGGCAGAAAAGAGCAGTTCCGAGTGGTTTGGGAAGTTTAGCACCAAATCGGCTATCTCTTGCACGTCCAAATGACTCAACAGCAACTGCCATGCAATTCTGTCATACGGCGAATGAAGTTCGTTTCGCTGAATGGCGGAAATCCACGAGGATTTTCTCTTTTCCACAGCATTCTGCACGTTGTCCCCTAATAGTGACTTCTGATGACACACCGCTAGTTCCACGCACCTCTTATCCGCCCCTGTCCAATTGGTGAGGAACATGGTGGATCGTTTCAGTTTCTTTAGTATCGATGGCATGCTCTGGAAATTCGGGTTCATAAGAATCGCCACCAACAGGTCACGTGTGAGCTTTTCAGTCAGTAGCAGCTCATCAAATATCCTCACCAGGGTCTCATCGGTTCTGGCTTTAGTAATGGCCTCATGTATAGGGACGCCCTTCAGAGTCAGTCTTTTGTGGTCAATCAAGAAATCACTTCGGCTTTGAATGTTTTCTATGCTGTGAAGATCGCGAATGTGATTCAAAGCAAACGTGATGCCGTCAAAATGGTTATGTTCTAGTCTTTTCAAATTCACTGTGCTTTGCGCTGGCTTGTTTGCTAGTTTGTCATCTTTGACAGATAACAGGTCCAAAAACGAGACTTTCTCTGTATGTGATAGCGAAGCCTTTGTTCGGCGCATGAACAAGGGCAGAGCCAATTTAGACATGGTTGAAGTTCGGTTGGTAAGATTAGCCGACATGAACCATTGTATATACTCCAGTATGTCTGACCACAAAAAAACGGGGCTACAGAAAATTATGTGTGCTTACAAATTATGAGCCGCACTGCAATGTATCATTTCAAACTATGCAAAGCTCCAATCTGTTACAATCTATACAATGTTTCAACTATTCATGCCTCTGTTAGTTCTTGAATGAACTTTCCGGCATTATCGCCTGCTCTCATCAAGGCTTCTCCAATCAAAAAGGCTGCAACATCGTCTTTCTTGTACATCTTCGCATCCTCTACAGAGCTGATTCCAGACAATGCAACCACTATCACATCGTTCTTGGATTCCTTTAGGAGCTGCTTCATTTTCGATGTTGTGTTAAGATCAACGTCAAAGTCGTGAAGGTTTCTGTTGTTGACACCGATCACTTGAGCATCAACCTTGAGAGCCAGCTCCAGCTCGGAAGCGGAGTTGATCTCCACCAATGGCTCCATACCGAGACTCTTTGAGAACTTGTACAATTTTGTAAGTTCGTCGAGCGACAGCATCTTCACAATAAGAAGAACGGTATCAGCACCAGCAAGACGGGCTTCAAGTATCTGGTATTCATTGAAAATGAACTCCTTTCTCAACACCGCAGGACGATTGGGTATCGAATCAATGGCAGTACGAGCCAACTTCAAGTCGTCCAAAGAACCCTTGAACCAATGTGGCTCGGTCAATACAGATATCGCGGCACAACCTCCTCTTGCATATTTCAAGGCTTGTTCTGGGGCAACTACATCGGGCTGGATATCGCCTTTGGATGGAGACGCTCTTTTGATCTCCGAGAGCACTGAAGCGTTGCCTTTAGAGATGTTAACCAGTAAACGTTCCTTGAAATCAATCAAAGCCGGGGCCAGACCCAGATCCACACATTTTTGTAGTTGCTCGAAGGATTTGCCCGGTTGAGCCATGATGACATCGTAGTCTTTCACTCTTTGGTCGTAGATTTTGTTGAGGATGGAGGTCTTACCGTTGGTCGAGCTCTTCGTCGCAACGTTGTCTTTCCAGTAGCCGCCTTTCACTCCAAGAATGTTCTTGATCATAAGATGGCCCTCTTCTGTCAATATGCTCTCTGGGTGGAATTGAACACCCTCGATAGTGTACTCTCTGTGTCTTACACCCATGATGACTCCAGATTCAGTGGAAGCGGTCACCTCCAGCTCTGCTGGAAGACTCTCCTTGGACCCAGCCAGCGAGTGGTATCTGGTCACAGCAACACCCTGGGGGACGTTTCTAAACATTCCCCTGTTGTCGTGCGTTATTGGAGACGTCTTTCCATGGACGATTTCTCCGGCATACTTCACATCACCACCGAAAACAGAGTAGATGCACTCTTGTCCCATACAGATTCCAAAGATCGGCTTCTTTCCCTTGAAGTGCTTCACCACCTCTGGACATATCCCAGCATCAGTAATGGGATGTCCCGGACCCGGAGAAATCACAATAGTGTCGGGGTCCAATTTCTCCAACTCCTCAAGGGTGATTTTGTCGTTTCTGAACACATCCACTCTGGCTCCTTCCTGGCATAAATATTCGTACAGATTCCAAGTGAAGGAGTCATAGTTATCGATCATAACCACATGAGGAGGCGACATGGTTGAATTTGCTGTCTGAGGTGAGCTGTAGTGGAGCTTGAATACTTCTTCCATCTTGATGGTTTTCCTGAGTCATTGAAGTTGAGGTGCATTCCGTTTCGGGAAATAGTGGTTGGGGAACTACTTTACCGATGAGCTGCCATTTTAGATGCTAAGACGCGTCCTTCATACACGTTGGATGGCAAACCCAGAAGACCATACATTTCAACAAAAATGGAGTGTGCAAGAGTGGATGCTACTTTGCTGAATGCCTACCAGGGCAAGACGGTGCGGATTATAGGGAAAGTGGTGGAAGTCCGGTCCAGTTCGCAGGGTGTTCTGTTTGCAGAGGGACCTATACAGTTTGAGGTGAGTTCAGGCGATTCCACCCTTCCTCCCATTTTGCAAGACCATTACTATGAAGCCGTTGGTCAGGTGGGCAGCTCGAATGATTTGAGAATCTTCACCCTCGTGGATTTTGGTGAGGACTTGAGCGAGAAAGCTTTAGGCGTGTTGGTCAAACAATCACAGAACCTTCCTGAGCTGTTTGGAGGCTTCGATTGATGATTTGGTAAAACTTGGTCCACTTGTTAAGTATTTCAACCCCGTTGACTAATGGCTTTTTTGGATATCATGTTCTAGTTTAAACTTGTATGTTCGCACTATCTCGAACCTGTTTTGGGTGCATGTCAGTCTGCCCTTCATCGGACCGCAGTTTCACTGATTTCCACAAGTAGCTACTACAATTATTCTTAATCCTTTTTTTATCTTTCTTAATCAAAATACAAGAGACAGACCCTAGTCATAGCACCTGTTCAATTTAATCGTCCCACCGTCTTTTGATCCGTCTCTTCTCTGCGGAATCACTCACCGTGGCACTCTTCAACCTCTCACTGGCAGCATACCATCCCACCTCCGAAGGGAATGGGGCCGGCGTAGCATAATTAACTAACGACGACATCGTGTATGACCATCCAGGTGTTATGGTAGACCCAACCAGAGTCTTCTGGGTGTTGGTTTTGTAGTACGAAACAGACGAAGTCGCGTGTCTCCTCGACCAGGTCTTTGCTGTCACTTTTGAGCCGGGCTGCATCTGCATTGGGGCGTACCGAGTTTTTCCTGTCTGTTTGGTATATGTGACGGAAAACGAGGCAGAAGCCACGGTGTTATCGACCGAGACAGAGATTTGAGGGTCTGGCTCAGTACCGGACCCCGACGCCTTCGAACTACCTGTCATCCCTGCAAGCTTGAATCTAGGAGAGTAATGAATAGTGTAACCGTTGTCAGTGTAAACAGCCGTGAGCTGGAAGAAGTAGTTACCACTCTTTCCTGTATCAGCATCAACATCAACCGAGAAAGACGTCTCTTTGGTGGAATCAACTTGCAGTTCTGTACAATCCATATCAGTATTTGGACCCGTACACAGCTTGAAGGTGTAGGAGGTGACGGTTTTAATCGATGGATCGTCTCCATCGTCCTTCCACTTCAGTGTTAACGACACCGTATTACCGTCCACAGTGTACGTTTCACCCCCTGCAGGCGAAGTTATTTCGACATCAGCAAAGACACTGGTAATGAAAATTAACACCCAAAAAATTGCTAGCATCGCTTTAGCTTGAACTCCTTTGCGTTGAACAGAAATTGCAAAGGAGAAGAGAAGTGGAATGTGTATGCCATATTAGGCTTAGCAGGCACGTCAGGCAGAACATGGCTTAAGCGTCGTGTACGGATCATATTAGTGGGTAAATGTGGGCACGGGAATTTTCAGGCTTCATGAACGACTTTGAGCTCAGGACGTTAAGCAATATATAGCAGTAAGAGCTGTGATATACTTGTGATATTCAAATATAATAACGAAAAATGTTGATTCTGAAGTCTATGATCAATGTGATAGATAACTCGGTATGTTTACGATCAAAGAACAGGGTTTTCTGGTTTAGTAGCTAACATTTCTTCAGGGTGCCCAGATCGTGGAATGCATCAAGGTTCTCGGGAAAAGACCCAAGGGGTTCGCCTCGATCGGTGACAAAGTTGTTGTTGTTGTTCAGAAGGCCAAGCCCATTCAGCCTGGTGTGACCGGAAACGCCCTCTCCCATCGTGTGAAGAAAGGTGACATCTGTCGTGCTGTGATAGTGAGAACCAAGAAGCACCAGATAAGACCAGATGGTTCGGTCATAAGGTTTGACGACAACGCATGTGTGTTGATCAACAAGAACGACGAGCCAATAGGAACCAGAATTTCGTCGGTGGTGGCCAAGGAGTTGAAGGAGAAGAACATGAATAAAATTCTATCGCTTGCGCCAAAGGTTGTTTGAAGAGGTTACTGCGGAACGTGTATATAATAGAGCGATTGAGAAATGACATAGAAGGAATGAAGATTGATCTTGAATGGAGATTTTTCATGAAAACTGCTTGTTGTAGCATAGGCTAGCAAATACTACGTTGTAGCGGACCATGTCTTCATAGTTAACTACACTGCTGACGGTTAGGATGGAGAGTACGGCAGAATACGCCTCTCAATTAAGTTCAAGGCAGTTTTCAAAATTCTTTGGAAGATTTTCATTATGCTCATCCGGCCATATAGTTGGCTGAATGCTAAGAAAATTCGCGCGAAGCTCTACGAACGGCTGGCGACCTCGGTAACTCGGTAAAGGCTGGTCAGTACTGATATATATACATGGCTTATTTCTTCGATTCTGACTCCGCCAAAGGAACACCTCCCTTCTCGAACGGGGCATCAGATCTGGCCTCATCAAGCATCGGTTTGATACCCTTTTTGATCAAGTGCACCTCCACACATTGCTGGTACTCCACCCATAAGTCTTCGCATTCGTTCTCCATCTAAAAGCTGTGTTAGTACTAGTCAAACAGCAATCCGCTTAAACATGATAACGGAAATCAAATATTTGTTTCTTAGCAGCATGTATCAAATATCAATACTTACACTCTTTCCCTTCAAAAATTCTGCTCGGGTTAGTAGCATTCTCATGACTCTAAGTGTCTCTCACTTACTCTCTGAATACCAGTGGTTGAAACAGTCGTCATATTTCTGTTTGGCCGGAGTGCATTCCTCGGCAAAACTTGCTGAAAGAATGTTCCCCATGGTTTTTTGTGTCAGTTTTGCGTAATACTGGTTTGTTAAAGCCAGTGAAATGTGGTTTTGTTGATGTGGCAGGTTGCTTAAAGTCTTATGAATGGATTCGAAAAGGGCATCGCCATAGTAAATCTGAGATTGGTTAGCCACCCAAACCTTTAGACACTTTGTTAGTGTTATCTCTTCCCAACTTCGTGTTAAACCGTAACGTTTGCAACAATATCATCGATTTATCATGACAGGAGTTGAGGAAATACCGAGAGGTGGTAACCCCAATATATACTTTTCCTCAATATATGCTGTTCCCGGCCAAAATATTCAGTCTGGTTCGGGGGGAGCCAAGAGAAGAAAACAGGTCAACTACAATCTGGCTACCATGGAGGCAAATGCTTACGGAACGCTGAGGCCGGAACTGGCAATCGCTGAAAGAAATGCAAACAAGCGGTTTGCTGAGCTTTCAAGAGAGAACTATAACGAACAAGCGCGGATTGATATTCCCAAGTCTGGGCTCATTTTGCACTCGAAGAACGGAGATGTGTTAGGAGGCATTTCCAAGAGCTCGACCTCGGCCGTCAAGAGGATAATGGGATCCAGAAAGACACTAGCAAATTATCTGGACGAAACAGACGAAAAGGTGCTGAGATCATGGGAGTTGCTCGAGGCCAAGCCGGACTTGCAGCAGTTGAAAAAACTGTGTTCGGTCTGCGGAAACAATTCTCCTTCGGTATGCATGAAATGCGGAGCAAGGGTTTGCAGTGTTCAATGTGGAAGCACTCATTCAGAGACGAGGTGTGGTTATTGAGGACGGGGTAAAGTATGTATAATAAAGCGTGAGCTGGTCCAGTAGTATGGGTAGGCCACCATAATCGCCATTATCGCCTACGATAATTAAAATTTCGAAAAAAAACAAAATAACTCAGTAGTTTCTGCACCAATGAATTATATGGTGTTAATATTTCATCTAATTTGCTATTATAGAGGGAATTTTTCACGGCCTCAAAAGGCCTTCAAGTCAAGCCTCAGGACCCAGGCCTTAACTATGGAGCATCTCATCGCCGAAATCTTTCGCCATTTAGTTTGACATATATGTTTGAACGCGAGGTTCTTCTGGTTATTGATTGGATCATTCGCGTTAATTCTACTATTCAATCCTTGATTTCATCTCCAATTTCATCTCGGGTTTCATCCTCAATCTTTGCATCAAAATGCTACTCCAGTCTGCCTTAATACGGCAGAACCTATGGAGAGCCTTCTCACCCATTACTCACAGACCTCTCTCAACATCGGCGCCTTCGGTGGCCATTGTGGGGTCGGGACCATCGGGATTTTATACAGCCGTTAAACTTCTCACCACCAACAATGATGCCAACATGGAGATAGACATGTTTGAAAGACTGCCCGTGCCGTATGGACTGTCTCGCTACGGAGTCGCTCCAGACCATCCTGAAGTCAAGAACTGTCAGAAAAGATTTGACGAAATCACCGAGGATCCCCGGTTCAAATTCTACGGAAATGTTGAGATTGGAAAGGACCTGAAGCTGCATCATTTGGTGGAAAATTATAATGCTGTGGTGTTGGCTTATGGATGTGCTGATGGCAGTCAATTGGGCATTGAAGGTGAAGACCATCCGGCTGTTTTCAACTCTAAAGAGTTTGTGGGTTGGTATAATGGCGATCCTGAACACGTAGGTCTTGATCCTCCTCTTGAAAAGGCCAAAACCGTAACTATTATCGGAAACGGTAACGTTTCATTGGATCTGGTGAGGGTGCTCCTAGGACCAGTGGATAAGCTGTGGAGTCAAACCGATATGGCCCAACACGCGATTTCCAAGCTCCGGAAATCGACAATTGAGCATGTCAACATTGTGGGAAGACGAGGATTTGTTGAGGCTGCTTTCACGAACAAGGAATTCAAAGAATTGCTGGAAATGCAAAAGGATGGAGTAGCATTCACCAACTGGAGTGAGGACATGTTACCTCCCACTTTCCGGGAATTCTCGAAACTATTTTCACGAGCAGTCAGAAGAAGACTTGATCTCGTGGATAAATATACAGCTTCGCCATATTCGGACTATCCCAAGCACAAATCTTGGGGGTTTGAATTTTTGAAATCTCCGAAGAAGTTTGTGGCCAGTGAATCTGACCCAAATCTTTTGAAAGAAACGATATTTGAGAAAAACAAACTCGTTCAAACGGATGCAAACTATCCGGTTACGATTGTCGGTTCGGGGCAATTGGTTTCCCTGGAGAACGAGATAGTTATCAACTCCACAGGTTATCGTGGCAGGCCATTTGAGGAGTTTGAAAAATTGAATATTCCCTGGGACTCCTCTAAAAGTCGGATTCCCAATCTGGACGGCCGGGTTTTGAGTACTGGTTCGATTGCCAAGGGAGAAAATTATGAGTTTATTCAAGGTCTCTACACTACGGGTTGGGCAGGAACTGGGCCAAAAGGTAACATCAACACCTCGCTAATGGAAGCAAATGTTACTTCAACGTCCCTGTTGGATGATTTCGAAAAGGGCATATTACCAGCTCGGAAATCGTTCCAAGGTCGTAAGGCTACGGATTTTTATTTGCAGAAGAAGCCGGACGTGGTAACGTGGGACATGTGGAAGGCCATAGAGAGTGCAGAGAATGAGCTTGGAAAGATGAACAACAAGCTGAGGGAAAAGATAGTTGACGTCGATTCGATGATTGACATTGCCACGAAATAGATGGACTACAAGTTAATTGGCTCAGATAACCCAATTCCTTGTATTGAATTCGGAAACTTTCGATTGTTTATAGATCTAAACGGTCCTGTGATGCTGTATTTGTCGTTTAGTGCTCACCAGACTTGTGGTGGCGCAAATGGAAGTAGTATTCAGTTCCGTAACCGAAGGCAACCAAGCCAATGGCGAAGTGGAGCAAAGGCACTCCTGAAGCTTTGTCACCGTTGAAGTACTTGTCGGTGTATCTTCCGATAGGACCGGAACCCTTTGGGAACGAAGCTGGGCCCTGAGGAAGCTCCTTGTAGAAGGAAACGACCTGTTGCATTCTCTTGGCATTTGGGTTGGATCCCAAGTTCTAGTGGACGTTAGTGGTCTGGTCTGCTGTGTTGTCAGGGTTCGTATTGGAGAGAGATCAGCAATTGATGATGGCAATCTCATGGAAAAACAGTGAAATTTATCGCGCAAGTGATCCATCAAGTCACACGCTTCGTCAATTCGCAAAATCCCGCTGCAAAAAGCTCAACTCTCCTTGTTTTGCCGCGACATCAAAAACACTCTCGCTGACATCGCTAACAGCGCAAATCACACTCTTCAATTCGCGAACCCCCGAAATTCAATACATACCGCTGCCGAAGCAATCTTTGGTGGGATCAAAGTAGACAACTTTCTTCTCAAAACAAATGACATTTTTAATCCTTGGAAGCGTAAATCGTTGAGGGGTGATTACTGGTACAGTTAGTGGTTAAGTTCAAGTGGACGAAGAGCTCATTGGTTCGGTACAAGCAGAGTGCACCGTCGTGCCACTAGTGCTGAGCCGCTCCCAGTGCTTCTTAATATACTTCCTACTGTTGTCTTGTTAAAGATACCACATCAACTGCTCGACTATTTTTTTGTTCCCAATGGCACAGAATTACTCGGATTCTGGACTCGATGTTTGTCTGAAGGTGGCAATTCTCAGTCACAGGGTGAGACATACGAAAATATCAACAGCTCAGGCCAAATCACAGCTAGCTCACACCAAAGAGCCGACAATAAAACGAGGTATCAAGCTTACATTACATCGATCAAAGGCTAAGTCGTATTCCGAGCTTCACAAGAGACTCTTCGAGGCATTTCGGAAGGGTCTGGAACCGGATAATGATTTGAAGACACATATTGGTCAGCTGTCAGTGTTAGAGAACAAGTCTGTTTCGCCTAACACCACTGCATTGGTGAGCCGACTTGCTGAGATTGCCTCTCTGGACGTAAGCAAGAAGACCATATCTTTGGAATCCGAGAAGATTTCAGTTCTGACCGAGAAATGCAGCTTCATTGACTTGCTGCTCGAGCTGACATCATCGGGTAGTCTTGTTTATAACGAGCTTGTTCAGCTGAGGAAGTCCACAGTCACAACACTGGAGCAGCCAAGAATTGTGGAACCCGAGATTTCGTATGAATCGTTACAATTTTCAGAATTGGTATCTGAACTGTATGATATCAGCAAAGACGATATCGTCTTCGAGATGCGTCGACTAGCGAAGACGACCACATTGAGTGCGTACTTCACAGACTTGAAACAAAAGCTGCAGATACTCCACTATCGGGCTATGGATTTTGACAGTAAGGATAATTTCGACAAATGGGCCAAGGAAGAGACGTTCCAGGTGAAGCAGCTTCTGGATATGATATTTCCTATGGTAACATCTTCGGAACCCGGGGATCTCATACCAGCTAGTTCAGATGCATTATTTGAAAGAATTCTCGAAAGATGTCTGTTAGCACAAAATAAGGTTGGTCCGGCCTCAGATTTTTATCTTGATGGCGGAAAACTAGCGTTTTTAGACGAATGCTGTACTCTCTGGCGGGTTGATGGGTTTAGCATTGCGACTTCTACACTGAAGATTTTCTTGCAAGTGGTTTGCAGAAACGGCGATAACATCGACTTGCGGAATCTTCCAAAGGGATTTGAGCTGTCCCGCCATTTCGTGACGGTGAGTGGAGTTTCCCCAAACGTTAGCAGATGGCCTATCTCAGTTCAGGATAATAGACGACTGATTTTGAAAGACATATTTATCACCACTTTAAAGGCGGTGGCTGGCTTAGCGAATACTCTTCCTAATAGTTCCGCTGGGCTGAAAAGGTTGCTACTGTTACTAGAAGAGAAGATATTCCAGGATTGGTCATTCAAGAAGGAATCGCCACGAGCATTCTCTGAGTTGGAAACTGTCTTACGGGAAAGCGCAGAATTATGCCACAATGGGCTCTTCCTCAAATACTTGGCACCGCCATCAAGCAGCTTGAAAGAACTTTACTCTTTTTTTGAAGATATCAACATCATTCTCCAGAAGTTCCCGATGGTCTTTCTGGGGTCGCCTATCACTGGAACATTTGAGACCAGACTGGGACAGTTGGCATTCTTGAGCTTGAAACAAAAGATTCTCGACTTGAGGCTCATCAAGTCTGGTATCAGTTATGGCGACGTATATGTATTGTACTCCAAACAACTATGTCCATTGCGAGCTCGGTTGGCTTCTCGTTCCGCCAAGAATGCTGATTTAGAAGCTCTGGTTGGTTTTTCGTTGGAGACCTTCCTGTATCCTGAGATCAAAGAGTGGGCTAAGGAAGCTCAAGTCAAGCTTCTGCAGCAAACAGATGAGATCATCAATACGGAGCAGTTCACTCCTCATGACGACGTGAAGCGATCGAGTCATGGAGTTGTTCTTCTGTTCGAGCAGTTCAATGCTGTATTCCAGCTTTTGCTTGAGCTGGATTGGAGAGATGACAAAACCAAAACTAAATTGTACTGCACAGCGGTATCGGGTGTTTGTTCTTGCATAGAAAAGTATAGTCACAAAATGCTCCAGAAAATAGATCGAGATGCTGGTTCCGGTAAAGTGAGCGCTGCATCTTGCGTGGCATTGAACAATCTAAACGCCATACTAGAAAATATGAACATACTGGAGGAAAGAACTGATTTTGAGTATCTCTCGGAAATAGGATCTTCACAAGGAGATATCAAGTCTTCTTCGAGCTCATTATATATGAAGGTGGTGGGAGCCGAAAATATCATATCTGGTGGAAGAAGACCTCCTGATCTCAGGGTACATGTTGGTTCATGGGGAAGTACACATATTGCGTACCATGACACGGACCCGAGGTGGAACGAGGAATTTCGCATTAAGCTTGACCAGGGTGCTCCGTCCATCAAAATTGTTCTTGAAGATTGCGCAATATCGAAGACTTTGATGGAAAGTCAATACAAACCTGACTTGACAAGTTTATCCAGAGATGGCATTCCAAAAACATTAATTTTCCATGTGGGTACCTCCGGAAGGTTACAGGTCAACGCATTCTTTGAAATTGAGAGAAACGATCCAGTGTTCTACATGGGAAGGACAAGAAGAGTGATGTTATCGGCAAAAGACCGGGCTCTCAATATCATCAGCTCCAGATTCAATATGCCTATAAAGGAAGCTCTGTCCCATGAAACACTTAAGAACACTTCAGATGGTGCCATCAAAAGAGAGGACGCCATGTCACCTCTGTGCTCCTTTATCAACAGCAACTTCTCGATATTGGTCCAATACTTGAACCTCTCAACCATGGATGAAGTACGCATGTATGTCTGGAGTCTTGCATTGAAGGAAGCCGAAATTCTGGTCTTACCATTACTCTCCTCTGTCCGCAAAGTTGCCTCTAAGGGTGCAAAAGCGGGTATCTCTGATCTCATGAGGTCTGTTAAGATATCAGGCTTTTTGCGAACCATGAGTCTGAACGATGTCAGTATAGTCATTTTCTTCGTTGATGACATTAAGAACACTCTTTTCACCCGAGATGAAAAACTATACGAAGTTCCGAAATATAAACAGTTTTCAAAGATATACGATCTGTACCAGGCGTCTGAACTCTCTTTGAAGGACAAATTCGGAGGTTTAGTGAAAGAGTCGGTCCAATTCTTGTCGGAATTGGGATCGGTCAGACAGCAAGAGGTGACATCCTCTGACATCACCAGCTCGACTGTGACACCAACAATGGTGATGGGATCAAGAACTAGAAGACTCACCGTATCTCGCAACACAGAACAGCTGAAGTCATCAGGTTCTGCAAATGCCTACTATGAAATGAACTTGGTTCTTCGTATACTTCTCGCCAAGGGAAACCTGTCTTTCGTTAGACAGGCTGTATCGAGAATCGATAGACTGAGTGCAACGATATCAACCGAAAACCATTGGCTCAAGCTTAAATAATCCCACATGAAACGAAATAATGACAGTCACGAATTTTAAAAGAGAATTCACTCATTTACAATGACAATAATCAGAAAAAAATGTATCACGGATCAATTTGGGTAGCAAAAAAAATGCGACCTCGGTGAGGATCGAACTCACGATCTTGCGATTAACAGTCGCATGCCTTAACCAGCTTGGCCACGAAGTCATTTTGCAGGGTAATTTTTTTGGACTTCACTATTCCTTCCACGCAGGTTGGTACACGATTCTAGAGCGAAACAGAATGAGCAGTCTCATTTGGCATTGAAGCCAAGAAAACATAGGGCATCTTGTCGGAAATGTTTCAGTACTCCTGTCGTCAGCGCATACATCTTCTATCCTTGTAGTGAAACAAATATTGGTCTAGAAGATGTCTTGGTAGGATTCCTCAAACGCAGTGCACTGCTCAAATTCGAGCTTACACTTTCAATACCGCAAGTGCTTGCACGATTGAGCAAGATAGAAGCACAACCAACGCTCCAGCAAAGCCCCGAATGTATATGTGCTCTTACTCAAATGGCAGTTAGGTACTCGGGTCTCCAAAAGGAAGTCTTATCTTTTTATCGACAATGCATACGGTGTGTCAAGACGAAGCCAGTAGTAAGTCACCAAGAAATCTGATAACTAGAGAGATCAAGACTAACGCAGGAACCCAGAAAAACCAAGATCATTGGAGGCAGTTTATTCGAGAAGAGTTTGCAAAGAACAAAAATATTCCCAAAAAGAAGTTTGGCACAATTGAACACTTGATAAGGGCGGGCCACAAAAGGTACGAAATGTACTCCAGCGATGCCATTACAGACGTTCATTGAATACTCGGCTGCCGTACTACAAATTTCATTTTTATCTAATCGATTCATTCTTGACTATACAACAAATTCTTGACTATATAACCCTGACTTTGAAATATTTCTCTCCGCTTACAATATTTCGAGAACGAATACTCACAATGCAAAACTAGACCTGGCCCGAATAACCACACCTATTCTCCCAACAAATAATCATAATGCAGGAACATCAACTCAGTAACTGCACTTCTGGAGCCCATGTCGATCATCTCTCTGCTAGGGTCAGCCTCTTTGTATCTTGCTAAGGTTGGAGCAAAAACAACAGACAAACTATGCACGTTCATCCTGTTTTCGTTCCCACTATTAGAAATGAGCTCAAGATGCTTGGAAAGTCTCAGCAAGACTTCGCGATTTGAATTGGGCAGGTTCTGTAGAACGTTTCTGAGAGCTTCCTTTTGCTCTGAGACCTCCAATGAACCGATATTGATGAAAGAGTCGTAAAAACTGTAAGGTATGACTGGTTCAGCCAGTTTTCCTAAGTATCTTTTGAGTGTTCCGGTGACACAATTGATATCTCCAGATATTGCCTTTGCCAAATTTCTCAAATCGGATTCATCTCCTAAATCAAGTTCACGGAAACTAGTCTCCAGTCTGTCTATTGCTGAGGACGCACCACTGATCCTATATATACCTTCCGATTTGAGCCCTCTCTTTTCAACTTCCGCGATGCAACGCTCCACAATGAATGGTATTGGTCTTCCCTCATAATCCGCTCTGTCTTGTAGAGTAGATTTGTACAACTCTTTTCCTGGAACGGCCACTTCAGCGGGGATCTTTTGGGCATTTTCCGAGTTTCTAAGGGACAAGAAGTTGTTGCTCCTTGATTTGATCATAGAACTGAGAAAACCAGACTGTGGAGGTACTTCAGTCTCAACCACCTCATTTTCGTCAATTGATATGTTCAGTGCATTCTGGTATGAAGGTGATGATGCCAGGATCCCCTTCGTGTTCTTAGAACGTTTCCAGAAACGCGCCTTCTGACGAGACCTATCAGCTGAGTTTTCCAAAGAGTGCACTGTTTCGTCAGGATTCACAATGGCAATAGGCTCAGCAATCTTCGAGCTGTTTGAGGAAGTGGATGTCTTTTCGGAAACATCGATGGTTGTGGATTCATCTGTGGTGCTATTGAGGCTCTTTGCTCTGTTTTGTTCAACTTTGGTATCAACTTCCAGTTTCTTCTGCTGTTCCAGTAACACAGCAATATCAGTTGTCAGATTGGCTTTTTGTGTCTCCAAAGTCTCCAAGTCTCTCATCAGAGCAGTTTTTTTGTGGATCAGGTGGCTTACCTCGGCTTGAAGACTGGACAATTGAGCCTCTGCCTGTTTATAGTCCTTCTGAACAGAGTCTGATATGGACCTTTTATGAGTAGTTGGTGACCGAGACGGTATGCTTTCATAGGATGCAAGGGGTGGTGTGCTGAATGCTGCTGTGGAAAAGACGGGTGTAGTATTCGGATCGGCGTCAGTATCGGTTTCGTTTGCGGCTTTTTCAAGTTTCTCTGCGGTTGAAGAAACTTCAAGGTTTCCACTTATACTTCTCTTATGACGATGAAAGTTGAAAATCTGCTTTGCTTTGGGAGAGCGAATGGAGAAAGCTCTTCCCAAGCCTCCAGAATGCTTTCTGGAATGGCCCTGAGTAGAACCAGATTGTGAAGTCACAGGATCTGTTCGGTCTGGAGTAGACGGAGGTGAAAACATACGTGACGGAGTGGAGGGAGGTTCTGCAGAAATGTTGCCAATGTTGAGACCCTTCATTTCGGTCGTCAAACCAGAAAACGCATTCTCTCCAATAATCACCGAGCCATCCTTGGACGCTGATTCCTGGGCAGAGACCCTGTAGGGGTCGTTGAAGAGTTCATTCTCGTCATCGTCTTCCTCGTCATCTATTACCATGGCCTTTCTGTTACCAGGAGACATCACTCCCTGCATGTTGGATCTGATGTTTCCGTATGGCGATAGCGAAGAGAGTGCTGGAACTTCAGGCGTTCCTTCAGGTGTATGTTTCAACGACTGCGACTGGATATACGCATCCTGTTGGACTTCTTGGTTCAAAACCGGGGTAGAGTTTAGGTCCAAGTGCACTGGAACAGAGCCCACTCGGTCAGATCTCCTGGGCGACCTTACGGGAATGGAAATGCTAGAAGCATCGTCCACGTCTTCCGCAGAATGTTCTAATTCTCGACTCAACTTGGACTTCGTCTCGGTCTCAGTATCCGCGTTCTGTATTGGAAGTGTAGACGAGGACCCGCTTGAATGTGCCGGTGTCTCGGGCAAATGCTTGTCATATAGGCTCGAGGTTGTGGATGCAGAGCCTTCGGAAGAATTCGTGGGTTTCAGAATTCTCCTGGAGTCGTGTTTTTTTTTCCTGCTGATTAACCGCTCGTGACAACTCATGCAAAAAAGACCCTTGGAGGTACGCGCATACCGGAGGTCCTCGATCTGTCGTTTGCAAGATCTACACCTGAAACATGAAGAACAGTATGCGTCGTTCCCGGTCAAAATCGCCAGATCATATATTTTCTTTCCGCAGGACTTGCAGGAATATGAGCATTCCGAGCAGACCAGAGCGCCAGTGCCCAACACAAGAAAGTTGGAGTTGACCCCTAATAGCCTGGAGCACTTGGAACAGTTGAAACAATGGGTGTGCCAACGATCACCACCCAACTCATAGGCATGGCCTTCTCTGATTGCCTGTAAAAGTGTCAGTACGTAAGCTTCGCGTTTGAATATATTTTTTTCTAGGTTGTGGTTTCGATCTAGATCTCGACCTTGTCGCTCACTCCCCGGATCACTACGGCACTTACCAGTCCACATTTCTTGCAGTTCTGCCCCATTTGCTCGTCGATCTCATCCTCTGGCGCGACATGGACGTTCGCCATGGTCTGGACATACGTTAAAGCAGCAGACATGGTGGTTGTGATAGCAGAGTGTTCGGCTTAAAATCACTTGGGAAATGTGCGAATGAACAAGCCACGCGGTGGCCGCATTTCGAGAATCAGGAACGCATCTCCCTGAGGTACACGTAAAATTGGGCCGGATTCGGCAATGAGCTGAAATTTGGGAAATCAACTGAGGGGGAAAGGTTTTTTTTTGGATTGTGGGTTGGAAATAAAGAGGATATTTAAAAATCAGCGAGGAAATATTTAGGGTTTTAGGTGGAACGCGCTTCTTTTGCTTTTTTTGATTTTATTTTATTTTGCTTTTGTTTACGTTTTGATTGTCCGTATTGTTGCCTGTACCACTGGTTATTTGCCTGCGTTATAGTGTGTGCGTATATAATGGTCTGCCAGTAATGTGTGGCCCAATTGTGCTATTAATATCTGCCACAGGGATGTGCTAAGTGCTTGCTGCTGGTATCAATCAATGTCTGCATTTAATATCGGCGTTTGGAATCTGCATTTAAGATCGGCGTTTAATATCGGCATTTACCATCTGCCCCATGTTTGTGTCTACTGTAATTGCCTCTAGTAGAACTTTCTGTATCGTTGCTGCGGGATTCAGGTATGACTCTGCATACAGCACTGCATGCTTGTGGTGTCCGCCGCATTACATGATTTCAATACTCATTTAAGTCTGGCGCTGGTGTCTCCCAGAAAATCTGTTATTGCTGTTTACAGTGTCTGTACATAATTCTCTAATTTGTTGCTTTGGTCAATAACTCCAATTTATTTCTTGGCTATGTTGCTTATCCGGTGCTATCCGGTGCCAGCCTCTATTACTGCTTCCAACCTCGACCTTTGCATTCTCCCTTAACCACCAAATACGCCTTCAAAGACTACCTTAATGACATCAACAGTGATACCGTGAAGCAAACATAACTGGAGTAGGATCCTCGCCTTCTGCGGATTCATATAACCTGCAGCTATGCTACCCTCGCTATAGCCTTCTATCTTGGGCAAAGATCTTCTGGGGACCACTCCTTCGTTAGATCTTCTTGAATAAACCATGGGAACTCCGTATCGCTTCCACAGAGTGAAGGCATACTCATTGGTCTCGGCAGTCATGGAACCGGCACCACAACCGGCAAATATGATGCCTTGGGCGCCTAAGTGCTCGATAGAAAGTCTGATCAACTCCTTATCGAAGCCCTGGTGAGAATAAAGAATGGCTACACGCGGCCAGTCGGGAGATTGCAGTACACTTTCTCTGGATATGACCTGCCTGATCAACCCAACCGCAGACGGTTTTGCAGGCGGATAGAAGTAGTTTATCTCATTATCGATGAAATTTCCCAAATAGCCAAATTTTCCGCTAAATGTCTCCAGAGAGTTCGAATTCGATTTGCTGATGAAAAATCCCGAGGAAATCTGGTCATTGAACGAAACAAGCACTCCTCTGTCGCGGGAGCTCTTGCTGGCCGCTACCAATATGGCTTGGTAGAGGTTCATGGGTCCGTCTGCTGACAATGCTGATGCCGGTCTCATACTTCCGGTCAATACCACTGGCTTTTGAGAGTTGATCACAAGTTCCAAAAAAAAAGCGGTCTCTTCCATGGTGTCGGTCCCATGAGTAATGACGACACCGTCGTGATCTGCAAGACTTTCTACCACCTTTCGGTGCAGCAATGCCAAAATTTTGTCATTCACCTCGGTTGACTCAACATTGCATACTTGTTCGTAGAAACAGTCGCAGGTTTGAGTGACATCTGGAATTTGACTTAGCAATTGGTCAATCGTCAGCCCAAGATCATATCCTGCTGTTTGCGTGGTTGAGTCAGCCTTGGATGCAATTGTACCTCCGGTACCCAATATCTTTACTCTAGGCTTGTGATTAGGCGAAGTGGATTCAAGAGTGAACGAGCTGACTATTCCATTTTTGACGCAAACATTGTCAGGCTGAGTCATTTGGGAGAATGGAGATTGGTTGGAAAACTTGTTCTACAGAACATTCTCAGAAGTTGACGTTCGAAGATTAGATTTTCTTTATCGCGTCAGGGTCACGTGACTTTTTTACAACCGAAGACCCTCAAGCTTTTGATTTGCTTTTGCAAGCTCACCAGCAATTCTGTTTGCGATATTGACTGAAAGCTTTTCGAATATCGAGTCTAGCTGTCCGTCTGTCTATCTTTGTTTTTGAAAAAAAGAAACTGTTTCTTCGATGCTTAAGATTCTACATCGTCTTGTGTCGTCTCTCATGAAGACTCTTGGAAAACTCTAGCTCTTTGCAATCTTTAAAATAAAATTGCATTTCGTCTTCAATACCCTACTCAGGACAAGTTTCCTTGTTTGATTCAGTTTGTGGAATCATTGAAGTGTGGCGACACTGGAAATATTCATTTTCAACGTCTTCTATCTGTACTATGGGGCTAATTTCGGCCCTTGTCGGATAACATATCGCGGGCATTTTATCAAATGTCCTGCTCGTCTTTTCTTCATGTTGCCCAGAATATTATCCATCCTGGCATAAGTCTCCTGATAACCCCGACCTCAACAGATTTGGACTAAGATTGCATGTTCAGGTTGCGGTACAACGTTGCGTGCATCACGCGATGCATGCGATTGCATATATCTGCATAAATTTCAAAATTTATTAGTTGACTATTAGTCAACTATTAGTTAAGCTTAATTGACTGATAAATTTTGTAGGGTGGTAGTCCCATATTTATATAAACTTGAGTGGTGGCTTCTTGTTCACGATTGGCTTAGCAGCCTCAGAGGTCCAGAAGGAACCGTTAGGATACTCGTACGTTGCCAAAGACTCCTCTTTGAACTGCACCGAATATCCTGGAACCTTCGGCGTGATCACATAACCGTTTTCAACCAATGCTGGATCATAAAAATTTTCGTGGAGATGGCCAATGTATTCCAGCATAGACTTCTTACCACTGAAAACCACGTAATCGATAGTGGCGACGTGTTGCGTGAGTTCTGGTAGTCCGACTCCACCGGAGTGAGGACAAACCTGAACTCCAAACTTTTTAGCCATCAGAAGAACAGACAGCACCTCATTCAAGCCACCTAGTCTACATGCATCAACCTGTGCAATGTCAATTGCACCCAGCTGAAATAGTTGCTTCCAGATAACTCTGTTCTGTGCCATTTCACCGGTAGCAACAGCTATTCCATAAGGCTTTAGTGCATCTCTGATGGTCTTGTGCCCGACACAATCATCTGGTGATGTTGGCTCTTCAATGAACCATGGCTTGAACTCTGCAAGCTCTTTTACCCATTCAATTGCCACATTCACATCCCAGACCTGATTGGCGTCGATCATGAGGGTTTTGTCTCCAATAATCTTTCTGGCCAAACTCAATCTTCTCTTATCTTCAGCGAGATCCTGACCAACCTTGAATTTGAAATTTACATGACCATTGGCCAGATCTTCATGAAGAAGATTTACCATCACCTCGTCAGTGTACCCCAGCCAACCTGCCGTGGTGGAATATATAGGAACTGCATCGTTGTTGATAGCATCCTCTATCCTGCCAGCTTTTCCAACAGAAGAGTCCTTGAGCAATTGAATCGCCTCTTCTGGGGTGATCACATCGGCGATCCAGCTGAAATCAATGGTGCTAACCAGCTGCTCTGGAGTGAAGTCTGCCACCAAGCGCCAAACCGGCTTTCCCTCCTTTCTAGCCCACAAATCCCAAATCGCATTGAAGATCGAGGCAGTAGCCAAGTGTATAACACCCTTTTCAGGACCAATCCAGCGGAGAGAATCGTCACTAACCAATTTGTGCCAGAACTTGCCAAAGTTGGCAGTGATTTCTTCCAGTTCGCGACCGATTACCCACGAGCTCAGAGCATTGATGCAAGCACAAACCACCTCAGTTCCTCTCCCATTGGTGAAAGTCATGCCGTAACCCTTCAGAGAGGAGTCATCGGTGGTAAGATATGTGGCGGCTGCAGAGTAGTCACCGAAGTTAACGGCATCAGAACCAGTAGCGTCCAGAGTGGTGGGGAAGCGGATGTCGTGCGTTTTGAGTGCGATGATTTTAACCATTTTTTAGGAGGGGTGATATTAACCACAAAGGAGGGGAATAAAGATCAGGGCATATTGTGGTTTAAATACCTGTTTAAAGATGGTACCTATTAAAGCCTCAAACGTGGGGAAGCCCGATCAGAGCCGGATATTTTTGACTTTTTGTGGGGACGCGGGATGGTGGGGGTGGGCAGATCCTCAGGCACTCAGTCACGAGGGACAGGAGATTAAGTAAGGCACTCAGTGCGGTTCTTTCACTTCAAAAGTTTTGTTTTTGAAACAATAATACAATATAGCAATTGGCAACCTATTCATAAGATATTATAAGCGTCATTAAGAACCAGTTGGGTAATCTCAGTGCTACTCTTTCGAATTCCTCCATATTTGTCCTCACGCACGACCCGATGAGCCGCACACATCCATCCAGTGTTCAGTCCTCTGCACTATGAGATCATTAGACACTTCGATAAGCTCGGTCAGTCCCACTTTGTCAGCATTCTTCTCGAAATACTCAAAGTGTTTGTCCAAAACAAGCCTATTAACGTTCAACTTGGTCACTCCGAGTTTAATATTTTCCTTCAGCAATTCCTCGGTGAAATCGTTTGTGCCATGCAGCACCAGTCTCACGTCTCTGGCCTTGCACACTTCCGCAAGCTGTTTTAGCAGATCCAGACGCAATTGAGGTCCCTCGGGTGGATAATTTCCGTGAAAATTTCCAAATGAGGGTGCAAGCATGTCAACACCTGTATCAATGAATTCCACTGCATCTTCGGGGGTAGTTAGCAAGCCCTCCAGGGTGGCTGTGTCCATTACACCGTCTTCTGTTCCCTCGATTCTTCCCGGTTCTGCTTCAGTCGAAATTTCATGCGAATTGCAGAGCTTCACCATTTCAGCTGTGAGTCTAAGGTTCTCCTCCTTTTCGTAATGAGACATGTCCACCATGATAGAATCAAACGGCAGCTCCACAGCTGCTTTGACCTCTTCCGGGGTTTGGGCATGGTCCAGATGAACCGCTACTGGAACCTTGGCTCGCCGAGCACAATCAGCTGCCGCTCTAACCAGGGCGCCGTTGGAATTCTTGATCGCCCACGGGAACATCAACACCATAACGGGCGAGTTCTTGTTTTCTGCGGCCTTGATGGTGGAAGTGACCTGGTCCAAAGTGTAAACCACAGTGGCAATGATGCCGTAGCCACCTTCCTCGGCTGCTTTGAGGATTTGCAATGTTTTATTTGTGTTTTTCCATTCCATTTTGAAGGCTAATGGAAGGAAACACTACGAAGATTGGCAAGGATGTGTGAGGAATTTATAAGACATTGATTGGTCGTGTGGGGGTCACCCCACTCTTTTTAGAGTTACCCCATGCTTTTCGAGGCTCGATAGTGGGATCAGAAATAAGTATGGTGAGGCGACTTGAGGCATCTCAGATGTAGAATGATCCTAGATTTCTTTCTGGAACAGGAAGAAAATCGGGTTCTTTGAGAAACGGATGCAGGCTACCAGAATCTTAGTTATCACAGAACTTTGAAGCAAAACCACAAAAAGATTGACAAAAAGGCGGTTTGGGGAAGAAATACATACTTCATCACCAGAGACGTCTCAAAGTTCAACCAGATATGTTTTTTTAAGGTGTATATAAATTGCAACCTGCTCAGACCCCAGTATGGTAGTCAACACTATCGTTCCAGTCGGGGAATCCCAGATTGATTCCAAACTCTGCAGCAATATATCTATAGTGGTTTGCGATTCCATACTCGTTTAGTTTGGCCAAATCCTCATTGGAAATCTTTACGAATTCCCATCCCTGCTTCAAACGTTCCAGGTTTTGCGTTCTTGGAAGAACAACGGTACCCTTGCAAACATGGAACGAAATCAGGATATCAGTTGCTGTGGCCTTGTATTTCTCGGCCAATTCATTGACGAGTGGAATTTTGAGAAGAGGTGCTCCGCCAGATCCCAATGGAGAGAAGGCCTCCATCAAAATTCCATGGTCACGACAAAATTCCACCAGTTCAAGTTGAGGTAGACGTGGATGAAGCTCGACTTGATTGACAGCTGGAATCACATCAGTTTCCTTGAAAAGTCTCTCCAGGGATCTAATGCTGTAGTTGGATACTCCAATGGATTTGACCTTCTTGGTGGTCTTTTTTATCTCTATAATTTCTTTCCAGGTATCAAGGGGATCGAACCTCTCATCGACGGTAAATGTATCTTTAATAAAGCATAGTGGCCAATGTTGAAGGAACAAATCAACATAATCTAGTTGAAGAAACTCGAGAGAATCGTTGAGGGATCCCAAGGCATCATCGTGTCTTCCGGGCCAAACCTTGGTGGTGATGAAAATGTCCTCCCTTTTCACGATACCCTCAGTGAATGCCTTCTGAAGAGCGACACCAATCATAGGCTCGCTTCCGTAGTACCAAGCCGTATCAATATGACGGATTCCACTTTTCAACGCAGTGATAATACAGTCGGTGACTAAGTCCTGGTTCTCTCGCGGGAACGCTGTTCCCAGACCGACCGCTGGAATTTTGTTTCCGTCATTGAGTGTAAAATCAACTTCAGTGGCCTTCATTTCAACAAATTGAGTTTAGCTAGGCCGAGAGTAATAGTATACAGTCACAAACTATAAAAACAGCAAGAGATTTTTCAGTCTTTATACATTTAGGGGTAGGAGCCTTCGGGCTGTTGTTGCCCCGCATTTTGCAATCGCGCAGAATTTGGTATGCACACCCGCAAAAGGGCAAAGGGTCTTCGGAGTTCCCGGTTTTCTTTTCTGATTTAATTGTACAAAAAGTTCTATTTGTAAGCCAGGTAGCTTAACAGATTTGGGAGTGCAGATTTTCAGAGTTTCAAAACAGCTCCCTTCATTTGACCTTGAAAATCGCCAGATTGAGTATTTGAAAGGCACCTTTAGCTCTGCCGCGCAATTATCAACGACTCCACAAAGGCCACACCACTCAGAACACCATCAACTATTATCACCTCCCTTTCGAGCTTTTCCTCCACTTCTTTGGCAAGTCCAACCATACCAGCACATCCTAAACATATCACTTCCACGTTTGTCTTTTCAACCACTTCTTTGCATTTATCCAGAATTGCAGTGCCAAAAGCGTGCACTTCGAGAACACCCAATCCGGTTCCAAATGTTCCCTTGAACTTCACTGCTGAACCGGTGCCCAAATAGTTGTCTACGGCCTTGTCCAAAAGCGGCTTCCACGAGTTGGTTGTGGTGACAATTGCAAAGTTTCCGACATCTAAGGCCAAGCAGTGTAGTATGCTCGCCTGAAAAATTCCTGTGACCGGTTTCTGTTTTCCAACGAGCTCTCTAAGCATGTACACCAGAGGATGGTCGGAGAAACAACACACCAAAAAGCCATCATAGTCTTGGTGCATGTTTTTAAGTTCTTCGAAGCATAGATATGCAGATTCCACCTCTTGTGAGACATTATAAATTTCCTTGGGGCATTTGGAGTTGGAGCATGTGTAGAATCCGACAGGAAGCCTAGTGCGATCTTGTAGACACACCCTGAGATTGTCCTCAAGGGAAGGGGAACTAGTAGGATTTATCACGAGTATCTTCATTGTTACCAGAGGAAGAAAACTTTGCAAGGACATGATAGTAAAACATTAAAAGCCTCTCGTTATTTCACCTTCCAATTGTTCGTTATCGCGTGTGGGTACAAACTTCCCGATCCGGAAATAGGCTCAACGCACCTGTTGGCTGCAGATAAGAGATTTGCACATCAACCCCGGAAACATTGCAATTATTGTCCACGAATGTGGAACTTTGCGCCGTTAAAACTGCTAAACTCGGAGGCCAAAAATAATAATCCCTACCACATTGAAGAATCACCGTATTTCAAGAGCCTGTGACTTCTGTCACAGAAGGGCAGTCAAATGCAGACCCTCTTCTGAGGATGGTGTATGTTTGACATGTCTTGAACATGGCCAAAAATGTACAGTTGATAGACCCAGAAAGAAACGAGGACCCAAAAGACCGGTCTCAAGATTGTGTGGTATTTTTGAAGAAGAACCCATCCAGCCCATAGTGAGAAAACTGATTGAGGTGCATTTTGAGAATGTTTACCCAATCTTCCCGCTTCTGGATGAGGCTGAATTTTTGGAGTCTTCAAGAAAAAGCCAGCTGAATGATGACCCAATATGCTGTTCACGTTTGCTTGCACTATGTGCGCTTAGCATGAAGCATGTCGAGGATAATGCTCTCATTTCAGAGGTGGATCGGTCCTTTTGCCGTTTTGAGTCGTCTTTCTTCCTGGAAAAGTGTCTTCAATTGCTTCCTTCAGATCTTGTATCTTGCCGAAATAGTCTCGAATATCTACAAACTTTGGGGTTACTTATTCTCTACGAAAACCAGTCGGGAAATGATGTGGCACTGCAGCAGTACATGGGAATGTATCTCACAATGATGGCACTTGACGGTCTCCACAGCGAACTGCGCTGGCCAAAAGATATTGATAAAAGGGAAGTGCAAACGCGACGCCGATTGTATTGGGTTTTATATCGTTTAGAAGTTCATTCTGCTTATGTGATGGGACACCTGATACGAATGCATGGATCCCAATCGTCTGTGCTTTATCCCCAACCCGTTGATGAAGAAGAGCCGGATTACACTGGTGGACTTTCTTCTGGAACATGGTTGGTAGGCTGGAATTTTATCACCGATTGTTATCGGATACTGGAAAGTTGTTTCCAGGTCTTTAACCCCAGGAGCGAGACTGGAGGATTATTTTCAAAGGACGCTAACCACTCAATTGATGTTAATTTGGATTTGCAAACTCTTCAAAGGATTTCCACCGAGACACATAAAGCTCTCCCTTTCGTTTTCAAAGAAGCTAGCGCAGATATCAGTGATACTCTCACCATCAGAAATGGCTTTCAGGCAGCTAACATAGCATGTACAATGTTGCTCATGAGACTGGTTTGTTTGTCAATGGAATCTGCAGATACTGTTGCTCATTCTCTTGATGTGGTCCATGAACTTATTAAAAGTACAAGCTTAATTCCAAGTGCCTATTTCCGAGCCGTGGGAACGCCAATGTTCCAGGAGTTATCCGGCTTCGGTTACATCCTAGGCCGGTTTGTTGCCAATCCCCTGCTTGAAAAAGAATTCCTTCACGTCAAGGTGGCATTGCATTCACTTTCCGATCTTCTGGAAAAACTCAATGACTTTAACGATAGTCTGAAGATATCGCAGTTCAAAAGCTATCTGGAGAAGTTTGACTCAGTAGTTAGTTGAGTGGAATGGCATTAGATGATTCAAAGTGAAATCGAAATTGTTACTACAGAAGTAATCAAAAAGTAAAGTAAATTGTTCTCATATCTTATGTCTCTCCAGATATAACTTTCTCAACAACAACGTCTCCCTGTTTCTGGACAGTTGTGACGGAGCCCTCAGTATCCACCACATATTCATCTCCAAAGGTTCCAAAGTAATCTCCATCATCAATAAGCCCGAGACCACTCACAGGAAAGAAATAGCATAATACGTAATAGACGAAACTGGATATCAAACAACCCAGTAGCCAACATAGACAATATACCTTAGACCAATTACTGGTCATATCGACAGCGCCTTCCTGAACGAACTTTACAAATCCTGGAAGGAGAGGCCAGACTCCCATTATCCACGCCACTGGTGCTCTGAAGTTTATGCCTTTGGTATACCAATAAATACTTTGGTCTGAAATATCATAGAGATCGGTCAATTTGAGTTGTCTCTTGCGAACGAGATAGAAGTCACTGAACAGGATACCTGTAAAAGGACCAAGAAATACAGCATAACCTCCGATAACCGTCAGAAACTTAGTAGCTCCGTTCAGAAGCGACCATGGCTGCATTATGAATGCAAACGCAGCAGTAAGATACCCTCCTCTCTTCAAGTTGAACCATCTGGGAAGCAGTCCTGAAAGATCAATTCCGTTAGATAAGGCGTTTTCAGCAACTGCAATACCAAACTGGGAGAAAATGAATGCCAAACTGGCAAATGCAACAGCAGCCCGCGATCTCGAAGAGTCGTTCGCATACTTTTGAATTGCAGAAAGAAGACTGAACGGCTCCCAAAGAAGGGACTCCTCGGGATATAATTTAGTAGCGCAAGAAGTGCATACAATTCCAATCAAAGCAACCACCATGGTGCTGAGGGGAACAAACAATATCTGAGCCAAAAACTGATCGCTAGGTTTTTTGGCAAATCTGGTGAAATCCGATTGGGAGAATATGTGGGTGGAGATGGAGCCCACATTGGACATGATCCCGTAGACCAAGGTCCAACCCAGGGTACTGCCCTTGACCTGCTCAACACCAGCAACCGTAACATCAGATAATAAAGCTCCTCCTCCACCAGCTCTAGCACAGCACCAAATAAGCAATATGAATACCGTAGGTATCACCGTGATGGCTGCCACAGCAAACGGTCTCTGGAACTTTTCCGGAGGAATCCTGATTAAAGGCAGGCACAGTACTGAGAAAATGATGAAACAAGTGAAATCACCAGTCGTCATGGTGCCTTTTGCAAGTTCCTTATTCAGGCTTCTAAAGGAGGGCCATAGTGCCTCGATGAAACATTTCAGGGTCTCTCCACCCCACCAAATCTGAGTGGAATACCAAATGAACGACAAGATTATTCTGTTCACGAGCGGAAATATACCTCCAAAAACACCCCAGTGGGCTTTCTGCAGAATGGGGAAGCCGACATGCCATTTGGCTCCAGGATAGCCTGTCATCACACAGATGATTCCTACCATGGTGTTACCAATTATCACCGTCAACATCGACTGCCATACATTCAAACCAAGCGCTATGAGCGACGAACCAGTTGTCCAGCCTCCAATGTTGAAAGAACCCGTTACAACCCATAGTCCAATAAAACTCCAAGGTCCGTACGTTCTCCGATGAGGGGGAAGAGGCACGGTGTCTTCGTTGACATAGGCCTTGGTATGCAAAGCAGCAGCTGGCCGTGGTAGCTCTAATTTGTGCAAAACATTTGATATACCCATCTTTGTTTGCATATAATTTGACGTTGATCCAACCGTATTCTTTGGAGACAGATATATGCGTGGATGAAGTAGATACGGCTTCCTGAAAAAAGGCAGATGTGTCTCCTCGGTTAAACGGTTAAACTGGTAAGCTGCAGGGGGCATAGGCCCTTATCATGCGATAAGCGCCCCTTATCGGGATCGGCTTCAAACACTCAAATAGCTAGCTCGAGAAACGCATTTGTTGAATACTTTCTGTTTTTACGGAGCCAAATGGCTGCAAACTCGGCAACCCCCAAGTTTGATCTTCCATTAATAGATATCTCGTCATATGGACAGGGACAAGAGGACAGACTGGTAGAGGACCTTATGGCCGCCGGAAAATGGCCTGGTTTTTTCTATCTGGTGAACCATGAAATATCGCACGACGAGATTGACAAAATTATAAATTTTGCTCAAAGCTATTTCAAAAACACTTCCTCGAAGGAAAAAATGAAATGGAAAAATTCAAGTGGCGATACAGGGTACACGGATTTGAGGGATGAGAAGCTATCTGGCTTGGGCAATGGTGATTTGAAGGAATCGTATTATCTCAGCGAGGAAAATTTGAAAAAAAACAATATCCCAGCAGAGTTTGTTGCTGAGAAGCAATTTCTGGATTTATTTGTTACTAAATGCAAAAGAGTCGCAAATACAGTCCTCCATGGTTTATCTGTGGGCTTGGGTTTACAACCAGACTTTCTTTCCAGCAAACACAGTGGAGAGAGAAATCGTCTAAGACTGATTCATTATCCTCCCGTTGAGGCCGTTTCAGATCCAGACCACCCGAGCCTGGATATAAGGGCAGGACAGCACTCAGACTATGGGTCGCTGACCATGCTATTTGTATCTCCAAAAGATAAAGGAGGCCTCCAGGTTCTCATTGATAACACCTGGTTTGACGTACCTATAATCCCATACACAATCATCTTCAATATTGGTGATGCGCTAGAGTTCTGGACGGCAGGAATGTTTCGCTCAACTGTACATAGAGTTCTTATTCCCAGAGACGACTCTGAAAACAGGGATAGGTACAGCATACCGTTCTTCGTTCAGCCCGACACTGATGTGATACTGAGTCCGATTGGATCGGGTGGGGACATAAGCAAGTTTGAGAGAATTCTCAAAGAAAAATATCCAGGAGGCATGCCTACTACTGCTGGTGAACATTTACAGAGCAGGATTAGGACTACTTATTCTTAAAACACAATGTCAATTTTGTTATTTCTCTAAGTGATCCTCAAAGAATTTCTTAATGTAGCCAGCAGAATCTTTTGGATATCTGGTGAGTTTGTCATCGAAATCAACCCAGGTTACTCCAAATCTTGTGAAGCCCTCCTGCCACTCGAAGTTGTCAAGGAAAGACCAAATGATGTAACTCTTGACTGGAACTCTGCCTTCATTGACAAGATCAATAATCTGGTTCGCGTAGTCTTTGAAATAGTCAATTCTGAACTGATCCTTGAGCCCAACTTCACGTGGGAGATTGCGCTCGTTGGGACAAATAACTCCATTTTCGGTGATGTAGATGTCCTGGTGGTAGCGATCGTAGAGATACTCAAGCAATTTCCTGAATCCCCATGCAACTGGACGAACCCATGAAAGTCCAGCTTTAGGTCCAATCTCCTTACCATCGCTTCCAATTTGAGTAGGCTCAATATCCGGCATGAGTTGAGCCATGAAGTCAGTGGGTCCAATCGGAGTGGTACGCTTCTTGATGTAGTAGGCCGTGTAGTGGTTAAGGCCGAAGAAGTCGTTCGATCCCTTAAGCAGGCTTTTTTCTTCCTCGGTGAATACCGGGAGTCTATCACCAACCTTACTTTTGAGGTAATCAGAATAATCACCAAAATAAACAGGATCAGAGAGCCACAGAGAAGCCTTGTGCATGAACTCCTCGGCAGCTTCCTTCGAACCTTCCGAGCTATCGTAAGGTTCTCCCCAGTTCACGTTGATAACAATTCCAAGCTTCACGTGAGGATACTTTTGCTTGTATTTGGTCCTCCAGAGGTTTATTGTACGAGCATGGCAGACCAACAGCGAATGACCAACGATGTATGGCTCGGTCAAACTGTTGCCCTCGGGGCTTTTTGTTCTATCACTAGATCTACCCGGAGCATGTGCACCAATGCAATGACCCAGGATGGAGTAGATATTTGGTTCATTAATAGTCAACCAAGTTTCAACCAAGTCACCGAAATTCTCGAAACAGACGTCTGCGTAACGAACAAAGTCCTGAACAATCTCGTCCTTGTTCAAGAACCCCAAATATTTGTCCTGAAGAGCCTGTGGCGTATCCCAATGAAAAATGGTTGGCATTGGCTTGATCCCGTTTTCCAAAAGCTTTAGAATAAAATTTCTGTAAAAAGCTATTCCTTCTGGATTGACTGGATCGTCCCTTCCACCTTTGGGGATGATTCTGCTCCAGGATAGAGAGAACCTGTAGGCATTGACCCCGTAGCTCTTCATCAAAGCAATGTCTTCTTCCCAGCGATTGTAGCTATCAGTAGCAACATCACCACTCTTTCCATCTTCGGTGTGAGTAGGATCTCTGCTGAAAGTGTCCCAAATAGATAGCTCTCTACCATCTTGCTCGCAGGCCCCTTCAACCTGGTAACTGGCAGTGGCATAACCCCACAGGAAGTCTTTTGGCAATTTCTTTATTTCTGGCATGATTGATATTAGTTAGCAAAATAAGGCAGAATAAGGAAGAACAGGCAAAATGAGTGCAGAGGAACCCTATTTATATTTTCTCCAGGTTTCCCGATTGGAACTATACAAAATGTGGGGTGAGGCATAAAGTATCCGGTAGTGGCCGGATATCAAAAAAGAGCTGGCCTGATCTGGAAGTATATCCAAGGCGATGAGAAGTGAAAATTCCATTCCACTTGCCTGCTAATATTTCATAGCGTGTTATCGTGGTCTGTTTTCAAACTAATGCATACTAACGTAACGCTGATACTGTATGCCGGAAGCTGGAGCACAGTCATGATGTGATGACCAGCCAAGTAGCCCCTCAAGTAGCCCCTCAAGAATGGATCAAACCAGGAATGTAATTGTAATAAATGTAAAAGATATGTATAATGTCCTCCGCCATTCCCAGATATTTCCAGGATGTTCTTCAGATCGTCGTAGCCCTTGCTAGCTTCTATTATAAATTGCCTGCTATTTCAGACTCCGTCGCCGATAGCATTATCAACATCACCACCTGCTCCTCCTCGCCTCACACCATCACCAAAAACGTCAGCAGCCTGCTCCAAGGTGAACCCTCTTGTCTCTGGGAAGAACAAGTAAACAACAACAATCTCAACTCCAATAATACAACAATATACAATGTAGTATCTCCAGTGCAGTGCGTCCATAGCCACGGGGTTGATCAACCCATTGAATACACTGATGACCTGTTGCCAACACTGGACAATTTGTAGCCCTTTGGATCTCAGAAAAAACGGTAGCACCTCTGTGTAGTACAGATATGGCAATCCATTGAGTCCTAAATCGTAACACATAAAAAACAGAAAAACCATTGTCAAAATGGCCTTGCTCAAGAGCGTACTTTCGTAGTTGCCCTGTTGAAACTTGGCTGATAAAACGGTCCATGTAACAAAAACGAAAAACATTCCCGTGGTACACGTGAGAAACATGATCCGACGACGAAACCGGTGCACGCAATATAGAACAAAGGCACAAACACCCAAGTTGTAGACATTGAGGGAAACGTTGATCCACAATTGTTCCACTGCAGATGTGTATCCAATAGATCCCAGGATGAGAACTAAATAGTACGAAATCAAAGCATTTCCGGATAGTTGCTGCATGCAGGCCAAAAACGAAATCACAAATAATCTGTGTTTATTTGCTCTGGTTGCAAAGAATTCCAGCCATGAAGTGTTGCTGGCAGAAGACTCATTCTCGATGGCTATAGTGATTTGTGCCATTTCAAACTCCACCAAAATGGAATTGAGGTCACCCTCAGCATGAAACTTTACAAGAATATCTCTAGCCTCTTGAGATCGGCCTTTACTGATCAAATATCGTGGGGACTCAGGAACAAACCGGTACAAAGAAAGCTGCAGAATTGGAAAGAAGCATTGGAGCAGAGAAGGCCCTCGCCAACTCCAGTTCGATGATTCCCCAGTTTGATAGCAAAAAAGTGTTATCAAAGCTGCCAGCACGGAGCCAACATACCACGTGTTGCTGTAAATTGACGTGAGAATGGTTCTGTGTGTAGGGTAAGCAAGTTCAGATATGTACAGCGGACTCACTATGCTGGTCAAAACAGCCCCTGCTCCCATGATGAATCGTCCACAAAAAAAGGCCTCGTATGTCCGAGATGAGGCCTGGATTAGAGTACCTAATATCACAATCAAGGCTCCCAATGCTGTTGGAACCCGCCTTCCGTAAGTATCTGCCAAATAATGACCAGGTAAAGAACCACAGATTCCACCCAGGGCACTGCTACACGTCAAAATGCCCAGTCTCCATCCGCTTAGTCCGTCGAAATAGAGACTCCAGCTGGGGATAGACTGGAGCCCATTGAGCATTGAGCCATCAAATCCAGAGCTTGCTGAGCTCAACAACGCAAACAACGAAAAAAAGTTCAGTCTTCGCAACTGTGGTTTCAGGTACCACGCTTCTTCCGAGTCTGGCAACACGTCTTCAAGGGCATAATCGACAATTCCTTCCCGAGTAACGGAAGCAGAACTATTCTCATCTATCACTCGGCCCCGGATCGGATTTTTTGAATCGCGTGGAAGTGGTGTATAAGACATGACCTTTGGCGAGCTATATTATGACCGTGCAATGCGTAGAGAAGTTATCTAATCAGGGGTGTGATGTCACTGCACTACCTTGAACCTGCCACTACCCCATTTCCGGCCTACGAAGAAGATGAATTTAATCCAAAGAATGGCGCTTGCATAACCGGTCGTTGATTACCCCAATAGGAAGTTATGCGATGAGCCTCAGTAGGGGACGTTTCCTAGTCGAGAAATTCTACGCGCCGAGTAAGATTATTGGTTCGGGCACGGGCATTTGAATCGAGATATTTGCGGGTGTACTGCAGGCCCCCGTACCCCATTTTGGATACTGATGGAAATGTAACGCGGGGCTAATTTGGGGGTCAATAGAAATGATTACAAATTCTGCTAAGTAAAGAATGAGGAGATGAAACACTATTCGGAGTTAAGAAGATTTATCAAGATTTTCGTCGCTTTTCAGTGTCTTTTACTGAAAATAGAAAGGTGGGAAGAGGGGTCGAAACCGGCATTTTGAAAAGTTAATTAAAAATCCAAATCTATGAAGTTCCACCATACCACCTTTAAACACTTGCAGATAAAATAGCATTCAACTCATCTCTAGTCTGCAAATTCTCAAACTTGAATGAGGAAGCTAGCTCGTCTAGCTCTTCAAAAGAGAGATCCCTGAAATATTCTGCAAACTCAAAGGTCAAAAACTGCGAGAGAAGACACTCTCTAAGAACACGATCGATATAACCGTCAATTGCGAGGTTGTTAGGATAAACTGCTTTGTGGAATTTCTCCGGAATCTCCTTGTGGAAGTGATCCTTAACTGCATCGTAAATCGATTCCACCTCTTTTGGAGCAATTCTTCCCCATTTGTCAATACCGAGACGTTGCTTCTTAGCCAACCAATCCTTCAAATGGGAATAGTACTTGGACTCGGGCTTGACAAACGTAAGACCCTGGTATCCAATATCTTTGTAAACCCAGATAGACCAACCAATACCTGTGCCGTCACCGGATGGGTCTCCTCTACTGTAGATACTGAGCTGCTCCTTCAAGGAGGCATATCTAGCCAGATTGGTAGCAACAATATCTGTGTCGCCTCTGACCTCGGAAGAGTAGACTGGACCAAATTCACCGTTCCAGACCGGAGCCTGGATCTTCTTCATGTACTCAATTTTTCTGTTGTATTGACGTTCCAACTTTCCTTTTTGCTCTTCAGAGCCAGTGAAGACATCAAATCCGGGGAAACCATAGTACGAGTAATCGTGGATGGCATAAACAGATTTCTTGATAGGCTCGTCTGGGAATTCAGTGAAATCCATAGCATACTTGTTTCCATCAAGGAAGAAAATGTGGTTGGGGTCAATCTTCTCTACGGCATCAACGACTTTTCTGTAGAAGTTGATCAGACGATAACCTTTGGAGTCTGCAGGCTCGTTTAAGGGGTTGTAACCGGCAACCCAGGTGTTATCCTTGTAGTGTGCTGCGATCTTCTCCCAGAGCTCGATTGTTTTGTCTTGGAAGTAAGGGAAGGACCACAGAAGTGCATGGTGAGTTCCATTGTCCGAGTGCCAGTCCTGGTTTTGTCCTCCTGGAGCAGCGTGCAAATCAATCACCGAATAGATCCCGTGTTTGGAACAGATATCTACGTATCTGTCAAGCCACTTGAAACCGTCAGGGTTGAAGTTTTCGAGGTCATTGTCTGGGTAGAAATGTCTGTAGTTGACTGGAATTCTCAAACAGTTGAAGTTGAGAGACTTGAAGAACTTTGCATCGTCATCAGCCCAGAAATACTCGTAGAACTTGTCGAAGAAAAAGTCAAACTTCTCTTTTCCCAGAACCTTCAGCAGGATCTGCTTGTGCTCGTCCTCTTGACCAGGAAACCCTGTGATGAAGTTCTCCATATTGAGTCCACCACCAACGGCAGCACCCTTGAGGACGATCTGTTTGCCGTTCTCATCAACGATCTTAGTCCCCTTAACTTGCAAAAAACCCGAACCAGTAGACATTATTGAAGGTAAATTTTGTTAGATTGAATAATAAGTTGAGGTGCACCCCATCGCCTACGAAAAGCGACGGTGGTATCTCCTTTTATCTTCTCCGGATTTACTGCGAGACTTGCCCTTCCCCAGATCGGGAATTGTATCCTATGCGCGCGCCACCCCGCAAAAGCACAGAACCGGTATGCAGAACCGGAAATCAGAGCCACCGAAAACGCCACGGTTCAAAGAAATCCCGAATTCAGTCGATGCACGTCGGGGCTCAACCACGGACCACTGATCGCCCCTGCCACCGGAGACCTACAAGTTTCCACTTCTTGTCTCTTTTCTTTCCCTTACTTTTCTTCTTCCTATCAATAACCTTCGCTTATCCTCAAATTTTCCTAGGTTTATCAAAATGGCTTCTGATTTAGATATTGATTCCGTGCTTTCGCAATTGAGCCTTGACGAGAAGATAAAGCTCATCTCCGGTATTGATTTTTGGCACACCGCCAAAATCGAGCGTCTGGGTGTTCCCAGTTTGAGATTTTCAGATGGTCCCAACGGTGTTAGAGGAACGAAGTTCTTCAACGGTGTTCCAGCCGGTTGTTTCCCTTGTGGAACTGCGTTGGGTGCTACTTTCTCGAAGGAGTTGCTTGAAGAGGCAGGTGCATTGATGGCTAAGGAAGCCAAGGCCAAGGCGGCCTCTGTGATTCTTGGCCCAACCACCAACATTGCCCGTGGACCAAATGGAGGTCGTGGATTTGAGTCTTTCAGTGAGGATCCAATCTTGAACGGACTGTCTGGTGCTGCCGTTATCAAGGGTATCCAGGACAATGGAATTGCTGCCACCATCAAGCACTTTGTGTGTAACGATCTGGAAGACAACAGAAATGGTGTCAACTCAATTGTTTCGCCAAGAGCTCTTAGAGAGATCTACTTGTTGCCGTTCCAATTGGCTGTCAGAGACTCGCAGCCAGCTGCTTTTATGACTGCTTACAACTTGGTGAACGGTGAGCACTGCTCGCAATCCAAGTTCCTTTTAGACGATGTCCTCAGAAAGGAGTGGGGCTTTGATGGTACCGTTATGTCCGACTGGTTCGGTGTGTACGATTCCAAGAGCTCCATCAAGGGTGGTCTGGACATTGAGATGCCTGGTCCTCCAGCCTGCAGAGTTCCATCTACCGTTACTCTCGGAGTCAAGACTGGTGAAATTCACATCAACGAACTCAATGCCAGAGTTAGAAATGTGTTGAAGCTGGTCAAGTGGTGTGGCAGATCGGGTGTCAAGGAAACTGACCCTGAGACCGCTAGCAACAACACCCCAGAGACTGCTGCGCTTCTCAGAAAGATTGGCCGTGAGTCCATTGTTCTTTTGAAGAACGAGAAGGAGGGACTTTTGCCATTGAAGCCAACCGAAAAGATCGCTGTGATTGGCCAAAATGCTAAGTATGCTGCGTACTGTGGTGGTGGATCTGCTTCCTTGTATGCCTATTACACCACTACTCCTTTCGAGGGTATCAGCTCCAAGCTGGACTATGATCCGGCCTACGCTCTTGGTTGTCAGACCTACAAGAACCTGCCTGCTCTCGGTGACAAGCTGGTCCGCCCAGACGGATCTAAGGGTTACACAATCAAGGTTTACGGAACTGAAGAAGCAGATGGTGAGCTGATTGAGACCTTAGACCTTACCACCTCTTACATGTTGCTTTTCGATTACCTTCACCCAAAGATCAAGAACGACTACTTCTTCTTCCACATTGAAGGTAAGTTGACCCCAGAGGAAGACGGAACTTACATTTTCGGTCTTTCTGTTTCAGGTACTGCTCAGCTCTTCGTTGATGGTAAATTGGTTGTCGACAACAAGACCAAGCAGACAGTGGGTCAATCGTTCTTCGGATCGGGAACTATTGAACAAACTGGTACCATTGATTTGAAGGCGGGTCAGACTTACGATGTGAAGATCGTCTTTGGTTCTGCTCCAACCATGACTGTCAGGAATGAGCATGCTCAGGTCCTGCAGGGTGCTGGTGGTCTGCAGTTCGGCTTCGACAGAGTCATTTCTGCTGAAGAAGAGATTCTCAAGGCTGTGGAGGTTGCCAAGCAGAACGACAAGGTTGTTCTTTGTGTTGGTCTCAACCAGGAATTTGAGAGTGAAGGTTTCGACAGACCACACCTGAAATTGCCTGGTCTGACTGACAGGTTGGTCGAGGAGGTGCTCAAGGCCAACCCCAACACTGTCATTGTCAACCAGACTGGTACCCCAGTTGAGATGCCATGGGCTGACAAGGCTCCAGCTGTTTTGCAAGCCTGGTTTGGTGGTAACGAAGGTGGTAACGCTATTGCTGATGTACTATTCGGTGATTACAACCCTTCGGGAAAGCTTTCTCTTTCGTTCCCACTCAGATTCCAGGACAACCCAGCCTACCTCAACTTCAAGTCTAACAACAACCAATGTCTTTACGGTGAAGACGTATACATTGGTCACAGATACTACGAGGCCATTGACAGACCTGTTCTGTTCCCATTCGGTCACGGTCTGTCCTACACCAGCTTTGAATTGTCGGACTTCTCCGTCAAGAAAACCGAATCTGACATCAAGGTTAGCCTTAAGGTCAGTAACGTCGGCAAGATTGATGGTGCTGAGGTTGTTCAGGTCTATGTTGCACCTACTGCTCCTGCGATTACCCGTCCACCAAAGGAGTTGAAGGACTACACCAAGGTCTTTGTTCCTGCCGGTGAGAGCAAGACTGTTGAGATCAGTGTTCCACTCAAGTATGCCACCGCTTACTTTGATGCCTACCAGGAGCAATGGTGTTGCCAGGCTGATAAATACGAGATTCTGGTTGGTACTTCTTCTGACAAGACTGTGTCTGCTGGATCTATTGAGATCGAGAAGACTTTCTTCTGGTCTGGTGTTTAAGCCGTTCCGGGACATATATACAGAACATTGCATATCTTATGGCTTTGAATTTGAGAAATTGTAGAACTTGAAGAAGGTATCATACGGAAGCTACATTGCCAAATTCTAACATGTGCAATAGTCGGAGTAGACAGAGTCTCAAAAAGTTTTATAAATAATGTTGGCAATTTTGGCAAACTATGTATGATGCGGGGCGGTAAGTTAGGATTTCTGATAAAAGTTTCAAAAACATTGTAAAGATTTTGTATGTCAAAATACCAGACTTTTGCACGAATAACCACACCCTTCAGAATCTCAAACTTACATCGTCCTTCTCAGCTTGTTCGACTTTATCAGTCAAATCTTCTTCTTTCAAGACGCAGCTAAAAGACCAAGTTCCTGAACCAACCTGGTTCTTTTCGCCGTTTGGCAAAACGATCTCTGCGGAAGAGTTGAGTGGGACCGTAACTTCGATCGAGAAGTCGAGACCATCCAGTTTCCATGAAACACTGATCAATCCGTAAGGAGAACGATGGGTAACCTTCGTATGAGTGAACCCACCACCCAGAATAGGCTCAACCTTAAAAGTCTTCCAACCTGGCTCAGACTTAGATAATCCACCAATAACCGAGTGCATCCAACTTGCAACAGATCCCAAGGCGTAATGGTTGAAGGAAGTCATATCACCGGGGTTTATAGATCCGTCTGGTAGCATACTGTCGTAACGCTCCCATATAGTGGTTGCTCCCATAGAAACGGCATACAACCAGGATGGACATTCGGTCTGCAACAACAGTTTGTAGGCAAAGTCTGAGTTGCCAGTCTTAGTTAAAGCCTTAGTGATATACGGAGTTCCTGCAAATCCAGATCCAATCTTGAACTTGCCCTTTCTGACAATTTCGGCCAATCTCTTACCTGCACGGTCAACCTGGTTTTGGTCGGCATAAAGATCGAAACAAATAGCCAGGGCATAGGCACATTGGGTGTCGGAAACAGACCTTCCAGAAACAGTCAGATACTCGTCGGCAAAATCCTTCTTGCACTTTTCGGCCATGGAGGTGTAATATTCGAGCTCCTTGCTCTTTCCCAGAGTTTTGGAGGTCTCGATCAAAACGGTGAGGATCTTGTAGAGATAGGCATCAGCCACGAGCCTGGCGTCGGTCATGGCCAAAAGAGGATTGTCTGGAGGAGCAGTTGGGTCCAACCAATCTCCCAGCTGAATTGTAACCTCACGCCAGAGGACTTTGTCTTGGAGCTTTGGAAGAGCCTTGATCCAATCGACCATACTCTGGAACTGCTCTTCGAGGATTTGAGGATCAGAGTACTCTTCGTAGAGTGCCTCGGGAACCAACATAGCTGCATCTTGCCAAATAGCACATCCCTCGCTTAAGGTGAAGAGACCTTCAACTATATCGGGAACAACCAATGGTGGAACACCATTGTTTTCCTTCTGTTCAGCAAACAGGTCTTGCAGCCAGTTTCTGAGAAGAGGAGCACAATCAAACAAAAAGCACGCAGTTGGTGCAAATTGAGAGATATCACCCGTCCAACCAAGTCTCTCATCTCTCTGAGGACAGTCAGTTGGCAATCCCACAAAATTTCCTCTCATACTTCTAATGGCATTGGCATGAAGCTTATTCACCATGGTGTTGGAGCTGTCGAAAGTTCCAGTTGGAGTCATATCAGTGCTGATAACAACGAATTCAACAGAATCCTTGGTCAATTCACCATACCAATTGTTGACTTCACAATATCTGAAACCGTGCGAGGTAAATCTGGGCGTCCATTCTTCACCTTCTGGCTTTCCACTAAACGTGTAGCTATCGGTAGCCTTGGCCAGACGCAATGGTCTCACTCCAAGCTCGCCCTTTTCCAAAACTTCAGCATGACGCAATACGATGGTGTGAGACTCGGGTGCATATGTCTTCTTGACCCTCACAAAACCTACCATGTTTACCCCAAAGTCAAAGATTTTCTTTCCTGTTGGGGTGGTTATGAGTTCCTGGGGCTGCAGAGTATCCACGCAGCGAATGTATGGAAATGACTGGGGAAGAATAGACTTTCCAGAGAACTCAACGACATCAACGGCAGACCAGTTTTTTGCTTCGAATTTTGGAGAAGACCAGCCGTCTTGCTCGAGTCTTGCGTCATAGGTTTCTCCGTCGTAAAGCTCGGCCATCACAATTGGACCCGAGGACGATTGCCAAGATTCGTCAGTAATCACCTGCTTTACAGTCTTATCAGTGTAAACAATTTCCAACAGCAAACTAATGGCTCTCTTTGTTCCGTAGATGTTGGACCTACCACCTTCAAAGCCTAAATGACCACTCCACCATCCAGCAGAGACCCTGGCTCCAATTGCATTGTCGCCCTTGGTTAAAAATTCAGACACATCGTAAACCTGGTGAAGCAATCTGTTGTGATAACTGGTCCAGCCAGGAGCAAGATAATCGGTGCTGATTTTAGATCCGTTGATTTCAACCTCATAGGCTCCGAGGGCAGTACTATACACCTTAGCAGATACAATATCACCAGCCGAATGAAACTCTTTTCTAAACAGAGTTTCCGGTGGTTCTTGTAGAGCAGTCTCTTGATCTTTCAGAGCAATAAACTTTGGTTCCCAAGTATCGGTAGGCAAAATTCCGACCTGGAAATCGAAGAAGTCACTCCACTCAGAGAACTGATCCGGAGCTTCACTTGAAGCAACGCGAACGGAAACACCAAATTGTTGCTTGGAAGTAAGCTTTTTGTCCTCCCAAGGCCAATCCACAAATGTTGACTTTTCAGACTTCACAGCGGAGAAGTTGACAATCGCTCCGTTGGATAGTTTGAACCTGATCTGGTAGGCTCCCTGGAGCCAGTTCTTCTCAGTACCAACCAGCTCCCAAGAGATTTTGGGAGTTGGATTATCTAGAACACCGAGTTCCTTGCCCGGTGTAAGAAGGTCGAGTTTTACTTGCTTTATCTCAACCATGGCTTGCGTTTTTTTGCCGGGAACTGGTAATGAAAGAGTGAAAGAGCAGAGTGCAGGTCATATGTACATAGAGCTCAGAAGCAGAGAGTCGTGGCACGCGTCAACTATTCTGGGTCAATGATGACCCGAAACGACCGGTTAAGCTTGGTCCCCTCGGTTTCGTTTAAGACTTCCTACGAGTATTGATTGGACTTTAATTGTCTGTTTCGGTAAAATATGAGTAACCGGACACTTTTGTGGCAGTTCGTCGAGAAATTTTGAAGGTTTTGGTTGACACTTCCGTGAAATGGTACTTCCATTCTGATGCAGCATCTGGTGCGGCTCCTGGCGAAAATGCAACTCTTCAACGATCTCGGGAACAAGCAAAAAGTGATTTGAAGACTCAATAAAGAATCAGTTATTATTGTTAGTGACCTGTGCTAAATGACCTCCGAACTCGGATGACTCAAAGTAATCTCACTTAGAGATTATGATATCTGCGTGAAGTAGACAGGTGTCCGCGTTTCTCAATTTGCCATAATTTTGAAAAATTCTAGTTTTTGCAGAATTTCATGTCCGGAAAATTGGGTAAATCAAAAGCGTGAATACTTTAACTCAAATTTGATATTTTGCACAAAAACAACTCATTCTGTTTGTTTTATCAATGAACTCGAAATATACCTTTTAGCATATGCTTTCCGAAGCGTGGCTCGTGCGCAAAGATGCAGTGGGACGCATCAGGGACGTTAACAACCTTCAATGGACTGCTGCAACAATAATGCCAGGTGAGCATATTATTCATAATAAGACAAAAAACAAAGTAACTAAAACACAACCTTCAGCACGGGAAACTTCAAAGACTCTGACAGTTTCCCGGCATCGATTGTCAACTTTTCATCGGATCCAATCCACTCGACAGCCTCTTTGTTTCCAAGCAGAGATACGTCCTTGACTGGCGTAGACAGATCCAGCTCAATTAGGGCAGATTTGTCGAAGATCATCAAATACCAAATACCTGGCTTTGTAGAGATTCTCCCCCATTCTTGCAGCGTCTTGAACGGGCCAGCCTTGGTGCCCTTGATGGCCTCGTTGTTCGTTTTTATCCAGTCGCCAATTTCTGTCATCCTTTCCACAGACTCGACCGGGATTTCGCCATGCTTCTTGGGTCCAATATTAAGGAGGTAGTTGCCTCCTTTTGAAACGATATCACAGAGACTCTGAATGAGCTCATCTGACGATTTCCAGTCGGTATCGAGTTTCGAGTAACCCCAATTGTAATTCATGGTGACACAAGCCTCCCAGTCCACGTTGCCCAATCCTTGCGGTGGGATGTGTTGCTCAGGAGTCACAAAATCACCATACCTAGGATCCATCTGATCGGTAAAATCGTCAACTTCCTGTCCAGAAAACCCCCCCTCTGGTCTTCTGTAAAGACGGTTGTTGAAAATGATATGAGGCTGCTTTTTCTTCACATTCTGCGTCAGTGATACAGATTTCCAAGCTTCATCCCCGTCGAAATCCATTGCAGAGTAGTCAAACCAGATAATGTCGATCTTGCCATATCTGGTGAGAAGCTCGTCAACGACCTGATGATGCAGGTACTCCTGGTACTTACTGTGGTCCCGCTTGATCCCATCTACCCTAGCTCGCTCGTCCGTAGGGTATGGTAAAAGAGTGGACTTGGTATAGTCGTATTGCGGATGATGCCAATCCAACACAGAATGGTAGAATCCAATTTTCAAACCGTACTTTCGACAAGCCTGGACAAACTCATCAACAATATCACGATTTATCAGATTTTTTGTTGAGAAATCCGTGGAATCGGAATTAAAAAGACAGAACCCATCGTGATGTTTAGTCGTCAAGACGACATACTCACAGCCGGCGTCTTTCGCAAGTTTGGCCCATTGCTCTGCGGCATCTTCCAGAACGCTAAACCCATCTGTAGTCAGTTTCTCGTACGCAGGAGAAGACAACCCAGTCCTCTCTTGATACCATTCAGCCCCGTCAAATGCCACTCTCTTTCCCTGGTAGATACCCTCCATGTTCGAGTACAGGCCGTAGTGAACGAACATCCCAAAACGGGCCTCTCTCCACCACTTCAGCCGTTCATCGCGCTCTTCTGCTGTTTCCGTAGGTGTGGGAGGGATTATTCTGGATGTCATCTTAATTGCAAAATAGAAAGACGAGGAAAGGAGGCTCGAAGAAAAATAGTGGGTTATACACCTGCAGGATCGATCTTATCGTAGAAGTGCTCAGAACCTCCACCCCCCCTTATCAGTAACGTTACGTCATCCTCTTTGGGTATCCACTATATCCCAAAATGCTCCTCGGGGTTTGTTGCGAAATACAACGTTGCACAAATCGATGGGTGGTGTGAGATTGACATATCGTCTAGAGTAATATCTGCAATTGAAGGTGGGCTTGAGGGAGGTGGGCAGATATCCATCGGCGGAAAAATCCGTTCGTTGCGTATTTCATTCCAGATGAGTCTCGCATTGTTATCTACGCGGTATACCTGTTTTTTGTTTCTTGGGGTGTAAATTTGTGAGTGTAGCAAAGTTATATTTGTTGACCCTCGTCTGCAATGTTACAGTCATGGTACTCTAATCGCTGTAATGCGGGACTTTTTACTTAAAGCTTAGCGTCAAAGTAAAGAGACTCCTCGTTGCAAAAACTTAGCTTTTGAAAAGTCAAAAAACATGTAGTGGATGGTCGCAACCTAGTAAGGACAAACACCAGCGAGTTTGAGTAGCTGGTTTGTAATCTCTGGTTTATTTTTTGGCTCTTTACGATCTCTCGGATCCACGGTGCCGTCCGGAAGCAGAGGAATATCAATTCTTGGCCTCAGATTATCGTGAGCCCAATGAGTGGTGGCCATCCAATTTTCAAACATCTTTGCTTTCACCCGAATAGTATCATCTGTAGCAAAGTATCTGGGCGTATAGGAGGCATACACAGCAGTCCTGATGGTATCACTCTTTGGGGAGGGTTCTCCACCCCAATGTATTGTTCTCGAGTCCCACAGAATCAAGTCACCGGGATTCACGTCAAGCTTGACCACTTCGCATCCTTTATCCAAAAAACTCTGGAGCTGATCCTGCGAGAACACGAAAAAATCCACTTGCTCCCAGTATTCCTCACCAATGTCCTTTTCATAGAATTCTTCCACAAACTTGTGAGAGCCTTTTACCACAATCAAGCTGCCATCTTCTGGGCCTTGGGCCTTGCTTAAATTGACTATTCCCTGTGCACAGTGTAAACCTTTCTTGAAGGGAGACTGGTCAGTGTGCGGCCAGCTCTCCCAAGGGGTACGATCTGGACGCCCTGGAAACGAGACATTGAATGCATCAAACGATACAAGCAATTCCTCGGTGTCCCAAAGCTTGGAGAAAGCACCAACTACTCCGGGTTCCCTTCTCACATCCCACACAAAATCTTCATGGCTGGCACAGTAGTAAAAAAAAATGTTGTGCTCGTCGTGGGCAGGTAAGTTCTGCGCAATCCAGGTAGATCTATCGTTTAGGTCCAACTCGGGGTTGTCGAAACTCTGGATGTAGTCGAGCATTCGCTGGCGGTAAGCAAGAGCGCGCTCCTCTGGGACGGCCCCCTTAACGATGGCGTAACCATCTCTAACGAAGTCATCCCTCCAATCTGCATGCTTTCTGCTATAAATCTTGGACTGTGCCATGCTGAACACATGAGGAGATACTTTGGAAGTCGCCACTTGGCCAACTTTTGAGATAGTGACATCTAGCTCCTCGTCGTATTCATCTGCTTCGCGAGCACCTGTAGATGGCAGCGCCTGTATTTTTGGAGCCATGCTGTGTGTTCAATAGTGATATCACGAACCAACAGGATTGAGCCTATACCGATCTTTCGATGCCACTTAGCCACCTGAAGCTCAAGCTAGGGATCGGGACGCGTTTTAGAGTCCGAGATGGGGTTGCGGATAAATCAAAAAGCCGCGCCCCCTATAGCAGGAATTTCTTAGTCTGTTTTGAACAGATGACTGGTTTCATTTTTGTTACGAGATAGTTCTCAGTGGTTGCTATTTCACGTATCTAACCCTTATCTGGTATATTTACTAAATCTAGCCGTGACATGCTTTGACCGATGGTAGATCAGCCGTTAACCCAAGCTTACAGGAGCCGGTCATAGCAAGTTACGAGTACATTTCATGTAAAGATCATGAATATAATGAAGTCAAAGAACAATGATAATTCATTGCAGCAACATTTCTGGAGTTAAAGTCCATGCCTTGTATTGAGGTGTTACTTGAGATGATGACGCTTGCGGGCCGAGTATTTTCGGAAAAACCTCCAAAGGGTGCATGAGACAAACCTGCATTGCCTTATCCTGGGGTCTGCTACAAAAGCATAAAACCTTTGCACGCTTATGCCAATAGAGCATGCCACTCCACCACACGGTTTGTCGATTTCTTCGTGCTTATTGAATTGAACACGTGATGGATAATAGCTTGTTGTAATTTGCAACAATTTAATTATGCGATAACAGTAATGCTTAGCTTCAATTGAGATTTACGGGATCGATAAGAGATTTCTTATCTCGCCCTCTCCAAGCCGGACTGAAGATCGTTTCAGTCAATTTTTTGTATAAGCCCATTGGCTACAACTTGCGATATGATCATTTTGTACAAATTACGTCTGACCCCCCTGCAACGCTGTTATCGTTATCAGTAAAATTGTTTCAATTTGCAATTGGTGGTTTGCAGTTTACAACTTACGTTCGTTGTCTAAAGCATATCTTATCTCCAGTATCAGCGACACTGTCTTTATAAGGCGATAGAGGTACAAAGAAGCCGTTCATTTGACATTGCCTCACGTACAACAATATAGCGCTAGCTTTTGAATTGTTACAGATATGTCAGAAACCAAATCGCCGGAGCTCATTGAGACACACCTGGAAGAACTATCATCCAAAAGTGTTGACATCTATGAGGTTAACGAGGACAACAAGGGCTGGTATACCAAGAGACTTAGATTAGGTGCTTTCAAGTGCCTTCCTTACAATGCCTCATTTGTTCAACTATTGATGACTGCATTTGTATGCTTTCTCTGCCCGGGAATGTACAACTCTCTCTCGGGTATGGGTGTAAGTACACATTCATTTCAGTTTACTCGTCGCAAATACTAACACCAGCAGGGTGGTGGTCAAGTTGACACTTCTACATCAAATATTGCCAGTTTGTCACTTTCGTGTGTGTCTACTCTGGGGTTTTTTTACGGTTCCATCTGTAACAAGCTTGGTGTCAACAGGACATTGGCCCTTGGTGGTATTGGTTATTCCGTATACGCTGCTTCCTTCCTATGCTTTAACATTACAGCCAACAGAGGTTTTGTCATTTTTGCAGGTGCATTGCTTGGTTTTTGCTGTAACTTCTTGTGGAGTGCTCAAGGTTCGATTATGATGTCATACCCTACTGAAGGGAACAAGGGAAAGTACATTTCAGTTTTCTGGATTATTTTCAACTTGGGAGCCGTCATTGGAGCCATTATCCCCCTGGCTAACAACATACATGTTACTACCGCTAAGCCAGTTGCTAATGGCACCTACGCGGCCTTCATGGTTCTCATGTTTTTAGGAGCAGTCGTTGCTCTCTTCCTTTTACCTGCTGGAAAGGTTATCAAGTCAGACGGAACTAGAGTCATCATCCAAAAGAACCCCTCTTGGAAGTCTGAGATCCGTGGCTTTGCGAGTATTTTCAGAACTGACACTTACATCCTTTCATTGTTTCCGTTGTTTTTTGCCTCGAACTTCTTCTACACCTATCAACAAAACGATCTCAATGCCGCGAAGTTTGACACAAGAACGAGATCACTCAACAGTTTGCTGTACTGGTTATGCCAAATGTTTGGTGCGCTCTTTTTTGGATACCTTCTAGACATGCCCTATCTCACAAGACCAAAGAGAGCGCGGGTTGGTATCGTTGTTCTGTTTTTGTTGACAATGGCGATTTGGGGAGGTGGATACGCAGTTGCCAAACAGTACACAAGAAAAGAAGCCTCTGCAGATGATTGGGTTGTCATGGATTGGGATACCTCTGGTTATGTTGGAGTCATGTTTTTGTACATGTTCTATGGCGCATATGATGCCGTGTATCAAACATTTTGCTACTGGCTGATTGGTTCTTTGACTAATAACTCCAGAAAGCTGTCCATCTTTGCCGGATTCTACAAGGGTGTCCAAGGTATCGGAGGAATTGTGATTTATGTTATGGACTGGAAGCTTGTTGAATATCATGCAATCTTTGGAACCACATGGGGCATCATATGTTTTGGTATCTTGATGGCTTTTCCAATTGCTTTCCGTATGGTCAAGGATTCCACCGAGCTGGAGAAAGATCTTGAATTCAGTGATGAAACACTGGAGGACGTCATTCCTAAAGATAAGCTTGAGGTTTATCTTTCTAACCACGAAGAGAAAGTATCTGTTTAATGGTTGATACTTCAATCCCGCTATTATGGTTTAAACTTTTTTTTTCAAAGAAATACTTTAAGAGGTCAAGCACATTAATCAAACATAAGGACCAGCCCTGATGCCCCCATTTGATAACCTTTTTTTCCTTGCCGCATGGCCATCGCAGCTCTTTATCTTGCATCCAAGCCTTGACAGCGATGGAAGATATATAATATCCTGAAAAACAGTCATGTAAATCGATCCATATCCCAGCAGATATCACTAATCTTTATTTTTGAATTAAAGAAACTAAATTTTTGTAAAATTGTTGCTCATTCAATGCTGATCAAAACAAGGTTTTTAAGAATATTTTTAGAAGCACGTCGGCGAAAAATCCAGTAATCTCTCAGTGCATCTGAAATATGCTTGAGTGAAGATTATGAGGAATTCAAAAGAAAAAACTAACTGGCTTCTTCTTGTCCTTATCAGTCTTGCAAAGCCACAGCTCACAAAATATACCCGGGACCCGGTGAGACGACACTTGCGGGTGTCGGCAGAAGACTCTCGGAGGCGGCGATTAACTAAGATTTTCCGCGCTGTTTATGACAGGTGCATAAATTGTGTCACAAACGCGGACAAAATTCCCGATAGCCGACACCAATATCCACTGTGTTAAGAGTCGCTAGGAATCAGCATTTTTGGCTCAATATGTTGTCAGATTGCGATCTCTGTCAAGCTGGTTCATGGCTTCACGAAAGTCCTACGAAATACTTCCAACAAAACGGAAAGAACGCGTTATTAGTGCAATTATATCAGTTCGTCGTAGTGAACCCTTCCGATGAGCGGCCGACAATCTGCCATTTCCGCTTACCAACGCCAGAACTGTACCGGCATCTTGTATGGAACCTAATGGCTTCTTTCCAGGTGGAAAATTTCTAATTGTTCACCTCTTCTTGGTTTTTTTTTCAAAGACCGACGCGGGGATGGTGAGCCTTGTGCTGCAAAAAACGAATTTACACACCTCCCATAGAACGGACCAAACGAGATGGCTTCAATTCAAGACGCGCCATAGAAAGCCAGGCGGACTTTGAATATCTGCACAATATCTGACAATTAAGTGAGACCATCTGGTACGATAAGCCAATGTCACACTTTCATAGCAAAAAAAACGCACGCTATGGCGTTCCACAGAGGAAGCCGAATAAAAGATACACCAAGAAACACCACAGTTACTCAGGGAATTGTCTGCGGCCACATTAAGATATATGTATCTGGGTAAGGCTCTGATAGTTCAAGAGGTATGCTGCGAATATCTTTGTGAAGCACCTCTAGACACTGAGAACAAGCAAAAATGAGTAACGACGGGAACAAAAGAAGCTCCTTGGAGGATAAAGATGTCAGCGTGGTGGCAGAAGAAGCATACTCTCATTCAGACAGCCAAGAGCAGGAGTCGGAAGAAGAATATATCTTCTATCAGCCTAACGACGTTGACAAACTGGCAGATCCACTGCAATTCGACGACAGCTGGTCTCTCAAGTTCAAAGGCTTCTTTAAGAAAAAGCAAAACAACGATGACCAAATTGCAACCAGAAGGTCGTATTTCGAGGACCCCGATTTCGAGGTTGTCAAACAGTACTACCCTAAGAAGCAGTACGAGAACTATAAATCATTCGATCCCTATCTCAGATGGACTTTCAAGGAGGATAGAGCACTGACCAGAAAAATTGATTTCAGAATTTTCACTATGATTGGTGCCCTGTTTTTTGCGTTAAACCTTGATAGAGGGAATTTGAGTTCTGCAGTTGCGGGTGGACTGCTGGAAGACATAGGCCTTTCAACTGATGACTATAATAACGGAAACACAATTAGATCAGTTGGATTTATCATCTCTGAAATCCCTTCTCAAATGATAGGCAAAAAGTTTGGACCTGATTGGTGGATTCCAATCCAAGTTGTTATATGGAGTCTCATCGCCTTATTCCAGTTCTTTGTGAACGGTAGTAAGTCGTACTTGGCGTTACGGTTTCTGCTTGGTGTTGCTCAAGGAGGCTTCATTGCTGATTCAGTTCAGTATATGTCTTATTTTTACACAAGACAAGAAATGAGTCTCCGTTTAGCGCTTTTCTGGGTTGTTGACGCCTTCTCAGGGATCGTCAGTAATCTTCTTGCCATCGCATTTTTGAAAGTAGGTTTGCACGGCAAAGAAGGTTGGAGATGGTTGTTTTTGTTCGATGGCTTGATTACACTTGCTATTGGAATATCCTCCTTTTTCTTCATGGTTCCTGGCCCCACACAAACAAAAACCAAGTTTAATCCAAACGGTATCTTCACTGAACGAGAAGAAAAAATCATTACCAACAGGCTTCTACGTGATGATCCCTCAAAATCTGATATGCATAATCGGGAGGGTATCACACCCAAACAGTTCTTCAAGACTCTCAGTGACTTTGATCTCTGGCCTGTTCTTATCCTCTCTTTTGTCTTTGAAATCCCTCAAAATCCAATCAAAAAGTATTTGAATATCAACTTGAAGAAGCTGAATTTTTCGAGAAACACCATCATCTACTTGAATATTCCGATAGAAGCCATGTCCAGCATCACACTAGTTGCCATTACTCTGCTATCCGAGGCGGTGGATGAGAGATCTCTAGTCTGCACCATGCAGCAATTGTGGATTATGGTTGTTGTTATTGTTGAATATGTTCATGCAGATTCATTGAAGCCATGGGCACAATATGCCATAATGTTTTTCGCCATTGGAAACCCTTCGGCCCAAGCAATTATTGTATCCTGGTGTTCGAGAGTGTCTTATTCTGTTAGAGCGAGGGCGATTTCTTCTCCAATGTCAAACATTGGTGTCCAGCTTGCTAATATTGCAGCGAGTTATATTTACCGCAGCGACGATGCCCCACATTACCACAGAGGAAATCGTGTTATTATTGGACTTTGCGTCATGAACATCGCTCTTTTTCTTTTCACCAAGGGTTACTACATTTGGAGAAATAAGACAAAAGAGCTGCAATGGAGCAAACTTTCTGATGAACAGAAGGAAGAATATATATCTGCACACAGACACGATGGTAACAAGAGATTGGACTACTTGTTCGAACATTGATTGACATATTTTTTGGGTCGTTCATTTACGGTTCTATTGCCCATCGGATATTACTGTGGTATCGAGGCCCCGCTTGTTTTCCATATTTTCTCGGAAATTATGTGAAAGTCAATTATCAATTAAGCTTAGTCAATGAAAAGTCACTGCTTTCATATGAACTACCATTTAACCAACTTCTAATATGACTCGTTGGGTAATCAATTTAAGCAAGCACTCACCCATGCAGGGAGGTGCATTTACTTTAAAAATAAATCATATAATCCGACTAGCGGCTATGGGCGGAGAAATATGCGGAGAAATTAAGCATAGCCCGAGGAAGTCGATCCTGCAACGGAGTCGCCTCCTGCTTCCATGATGAGCTGTAAAGATATATATATAT